TATCGAAATCCTCCGTTGATCGAATATACGGCCGCGCCTGCCAACGAGGATATAACCCAAATCTTACACCGGTCGTGGTTAAAGATTCCTACCTGGAAGATGCTCTACGTAGTAGCCGTCCTTCGAAGCAAGATCTGATAAAAGAGCCGGTATTGGATAAAATTCGCCGTGATCGTTATAGACGAGAGAAATCTTGTGCTGATCTTGCTGGTGAGCTTAGCAATAAGCGTCTCGACGTATCTGCTACTATAGTCTAGCGAACCTTGAAGTATGCGGGTCTTCGGAAGACGAAACCGACGAGGAAGCCTGGATTAACGAAGAAAATACGTGCTGAACGTCTTGCTTAGTATCTTGAGCATAAATACTAGACCTTAGAGGACTAGAAGAATATGATTTGGAGTGATGAAACCTCGGTTATTCTTCTTATCGGCGTAGTAGTTATCGGATTTAGCGTTCGAAGGATGAAGCTTTTGTACGAAGCTGTATTCGTGAGCGCTGGAAAGGCGCTTCTGAATTTATGTTCTAGGCTTGCTTCTCGTACGAGCAAAAAGGCCCTTGTCACTATTGGGCTCCGGAGACTGCACAAGAGAAGCGAAACTTAGCCCTCGAAATCGAAAGATTAAATCGCGAATTAGAGCCTGAGATATAGGCTTAGTGGGAACTTGAGTCTGGAATACGTCGTATAAACCTTCGGCGTCAACCTACGGGTAGAATACCTACTTGGAGATGGAATTCGAAGACCGGTAAGCTTTCGCGCGGTCAATCTCGAGGAATTGATTAGTATCGCTATTAAAAGGAGATTCTTATACTAAAGCTTCTACCCTTTGCAAAGCAATGCGCAATTTCAAGGCCTGAGATAGTTGTGCAAGAAGATAAAGCTCCGGCGTATAACTACTAGATTCAATAGCGTGTATTTGATCTACACGAGGTTAATCGCCTACTTTGGTGTGCGAATTCGCCTGATCTTAATGTAATTGAGCCTACATGGTTTTGGCTAAAGCGTAAGACTACTAGTAAGGGTACACCGAAGTCTCGAAATGATGCATATATTGCATGGCAATCTGCGTTGCAAGATCTACCGCAGGAGAAGATTCAGCAGTGGATAGAGCGTATACCCCGTTATGTGCAAGAGATTATTAGATTAGAAGGAGGTAATGAATATAAGGAGGGTAGGGGGGGGTAGGTTTAGCCTAGGGTAGTATATGCTATACATGTTAATACAATAGATCTTGGTAAAATTGGCTGAAATTGGTCTGTGCATGACGCAAAACTTTTGAAATAGACCTCCGTACTGACCAGTTAACTTGGCAATTCGCGACCGTTTGACAGCCGGGAATTCAGATTCCAAAGTCGAGATATACAACCGCACCAGGCCAGATCCCAACGATAATCATTGGTTGTAGACAAGTCTAAAAAAGCCCCCTGGTCCGAATCAAGCTTGGTTGTTTCCCTCTCTTCCATAAACGTTGTTCTGTTTGTTATTGTTTATCGAATTCGGTGGAGATCTGGAGACTCCCGCGGTGTCTCCCATGGATGAGATGACGGCTCGTCCCTGGGCCTTCCCATGGATAAGCGGTAATTTTAAACTCTTGAAATACCCGCCAATACCGGGCTGGCTTGGCTTGAAGTGCTTCCTTTCAAATCGTACGAGTCAGCAGAGTAGCGGACACTCGCCTCTAAATAATATTAATACTCCGTCCTCCGTCATCTGTATTCACTTCCTGCCACTCCGAGGAACGGACCAGTACTCTGCTGGTTAGAAAGCTGGCAGCATGATTCAATTTCTATCCCGTTGCTTGCCACTTTCGTCTTCCCTACCCAAGCCACCAGCTCATGCTGCCCAAGACACTGGGTCAATCGGCGTTGATCTACCAGCAACTCTACCCGTCTCCTGGGCTGTCAGCCTGCCACTCTCTAACCTTCCGTTCCCAAGTTCCCCTCTCCCCCCAAATAGAATTCGGTGTATTTCGAGAAGCCCGCCGATCTAACACTTGTATCCACTTACCAGTCGAACCAGCACCTGGCCAATGGCGTTTTGTAGCCGTGACATTGTTTCGGTGCACACCCCGCCCCTTGCAAGCGATGCGCGCAATGAAACTCTCCTGTAGACTGGAGGGGTTGGTTGAAATGTAGACTGGAGGGGTTGGTTGAAACTTGACTCGTCTTTGCCGAGGCGCCAGCCAACCCGTATACTTTTTCGGTGATCGAGAACGGGGGTATTCTTTGGCGCCATTGGACAGTCATATTGCGTTTATCGACGAGTTAAGATTTCCCGAGAATTGGGTCCTTGGGATTTTGATCCCTGTCGACTGTACTCGTCGTCATCAGTGGGATTGAGCGGAGCAAGTGGGATTGAGCGGAGCACCAGGCAATGATTTGGATACTGCGCGTACAGTGGACATAGAGATCTTGCAGGGGTTTATCATTATATCATACTAGATATGAGTACTCCGTATGGATATTGCTATTGGACAATTACATCCTTGAGTGGTGATGCTTGTGATGATTACACCCCCTCTGCTCCCAGCCCCCGTTTCCCCACTTGGAAGAGATCCTCTGGTCCAACTTCCCAACTTTGCATGGGCGGTTTCCCCGCCTGGTGGTTACCCTTCGATCGTCTGAGGGACGGAGCAGGCTGAGATCCACGTCTGAACGCAGTTTGTGAATGTCATTGTTTTACATTCAAAGGCTCGCGCTGAATGGACGATCAACATTGGTGTTTACTCGGACACGGTTGTCCGATTATGGTATTTGGTAAGTCATAGGTAGGACTTGCCTTAGATTCGGTACCGTCATTGAAATTGTAGAAGTAGAACAATTCCCAGCGTATAACGGTACTCCGTACTCTGTCGTCTGTACTCTGTTTTTTGTCCTTGGCCTTCCTGTTTGAATATTTCCCTAGCCGCGGCGGACCCACTGGTTTCTCTGTGATGACTCGAAGGCAAAAAAGAAACGGGGGTCGAGCAGACCTGTCAACTCGAGAAAGTACCACATCTCGGCCGGGCGGCTTGAAGGCGTCTGGTTGAGTTTGGACTCTGGAGTGTTCTGCTTTTGACCTGGTTGTCGACTGCGATCGAGGTTCGATCTGGGGTTGGAAGGGTACAAGCGCACACTGTCCTTGTACTCGAGAGGGATACTTAGAGTGTCGGTATATAGTTAGGTAGATCATGAGTAGTAGGTCTCATTCTATTCAAGGTATTTATTATATTCTTTAAGGTTATATTCTCTATGCTCTTTATTACTGTGTCTATTAACGGTCTACTAACATTATTGTCCAGTTCTCATCCTCGATTTGTATACAAAACTCACGAGCGACCGAACAACCGGCGATCGAGATCGGATGCAATCCAGGGAGGGGCAAACAGCTCACACGCCTGGGATGGTTTGGGGATGTCGATCCCTAACAGGGTGGAAATTCTGCTCTGCAAATTTCTGTGAATTCTGACTGGATCCATGCGATTATTATCCCTCCCACCTCCCCTCCCTTCCCCTCTAAATGCCCGGGCTGATCATTTATTTTACTTGATTATTTTATTTTGATTAAATATTATAATAATAATCATAATTATAATTATTATTATTATTATTATTTTTCTCCTCCTTCTCCTCTAGCTTTTGATGACCCTTCCATCGTTGCGGATTGATCCTCCTCTTCCCAGTTATAATTTTTCAATCCCCCCCCCATCCTCTCCCCTCGCTTCTTTTCCTCCTCTTTCCCTCTTGCCCGACCCAGCCTGCTGGAACCTCCAAAATCCCTTTTTTCCCTGCCTATCTACGGTTGACTTTTTGTTTTCACCCTTTGATCGACCGACCCGACACTCTGGCTTAGGTTCCTTCCACCGCTCCCAAGCCAGAGTCTTCCCCATTCCCCCCGTCAGCCGAACTCCACCGCGTCACGGGGTATCCAAAGTACGGAGGACTCCTTGATCTTTCCGTTTCTAGCTCGTACCCCCTCTGCTACTGGGGCAATTATTATTGTTCTGCTGCTGCTTCGGTTGCTGGCTACCTCTGGTATTATTATTATTATTATTATTATTATTTTTATTAACCTACGGTGAGTGGATCTTCAAGTATGGTCAGGTCAACCTTGGGAGCTTGGTCCATCCTGCGAAGTCCCTGATCTCCAGCCTGATACCATACCGGTATATTTCCATACCACGGTACCAGATCATACCCGTACCCAGTACCCAGAATACCCGGCCATACCATCCGTACCTGTGCCTGTGTACCGGTACCTCCCTCCCTCTCTCTCTCTCTCTCGCTCACTCCCCCCTCCTTCCCTGCCCAACCGACTCCTCCAAACTGCCCGCAACTTGCGATCTATCGGATACGGTGGAGTCCCTTCCTTTCCCTTGCCTACTTTCTTCCTCTTGAAACCCCCAAGTTTCTGCTGCTACCTCTCCAAACCATCTCCGGACTTGTGTATATTCCGATCCCGTTTCCTCTCCACTCTGATCCTGCACTGTATCTGATGCTTTCTTTGTTCTAGTTGCTCCACTCGGCTTGAAAGAAAACCTGCGAGCTTGCCAACGCCCTTTTTTGCGCCGCCGCTCACTTGGCTTGAATTCGCCGAACTTCGCTGCCTACGTCCTTCATTATTATAACCGCCGCTGACTGCACACCGCGCGACGTTGCACGCGGCCTTTTGCATTCTTTCCCCAAAGTTTCCCCCCCGCGCGCGCAGGAACGTCATCGAGGAAGCTCCCTCGGAGTAGTTCGATCCCTTCCAACCCACGCGCAACAACTCTCCTCCTTCTCCCACGCTACCTCCGTGCTGCGCCTCGCCATGTTCTTCTAAGCAGCTACTCTAGCATTAAGCTATATTGCTTCTTTCCGGTACATCTCCCCCTCGAGCTCCCCCTTCCTCACAGCAAGCGGAGCTGCCACCAAAAAAAAGAAAACAAAAATAAAAAAAGGAATGCGCCTGACTCCAGCCCCCAGAACTCCCTTGATACTCTCCCCCTCCTCTCTCCCTGAGGACACGGTCTTGACCGCCAGCCATGAACCGCATACCTCCAGAGGGGCCTCATGCGCCGCCCGCGCATGCAGTCTATGAGCATGCCTGGGCTCGTCCGCCATACCCACCGTCCTTCGACAGCCATCCAAACCATGCGCCAGACCGACGACCCTCAAGCACCCAGCCACCGATGCCCGGCCAGGGATACCACCCCGTCCCTCTGAACCGAGAGCTCCCCCAGCTCCCCCCGGATGGTCCATATGGTCGCCCGAACAGCTTACCTGGGCCTGCGCACCCTGCTGCACACCCGCCCCCTCACCCGCAAGATCCGACCCCTCCTCCGCACGCAGGATATCGACCTGCCATGAATGGCGCTCCTCACGAGTCTTCTCCGCATTCTGCGCCGCCAGAGTATCGCTCGCGCATGAGCTTTCAATCCGAGACATCTGGACCTGGCGAGGCAACACCGACATCTGGCCCGCTGCCGCCTTCATCGTTTATGCCACCTGGTCCACCAGTCCCCCCCGGGACACCGGTTCCGTATGATCCTAGCTATTACTCGAACCCGGCTTTTGGAGCTCGTCAGCGCAAGGCGGCTCGTGCGCAGCAAGTAAGTGGTGAAGAGATGGGGGTTTGTGGGAGATGGTACTAAATGCCGTTTTGTAGGCTTGCGATCAGTGTCGAGCGAGAAAGGCAAAGTGTGACGAGGGACGCCCGGCATGCAGTCATTGCAAGGAGAACAACCTCATGTGTGTTTACAAGGAGGTTCCACCTCATAAGTGCGTATGGCCCTTGACCTATCATCTCGCAAGAGACGAGCGCAAGGAACTTGATGTATTGATTTTGATCCACAAACAGGCAGGAGAAGAGTGCGCAGCTGGTCGTGGATCGAATCATGGAGCTGGAGGATAAGATGAATGAGAAATTCGAGAATCTCCACAAGATCTGGAAAACACAGGAAACCGCCTTCAAGGAACAGATGATGCAGCGCCAAATGCTTACGGATATTTTGTCGGCGATTGGAGGCACAGATCCGCCACGACTGGCCCCTTCTCAAACTATTCCAGCTCTTCCACCCCCTCCTGTTCCTACCATCCCCGTCGTTGGCCCTCCGCAAGAAACGCTGATGAAGGTAGAGCCCACACCGACTGAAGCGTTCGAAGAACCGCAGGCTTCGACATCATTTTATTCACAAACCAGCCTTGACGCCGCAGGACAACCGATTTTGAATGCCAGTTTCGAGGACAGTGCAAAGAACGATAATGAAGGAGAGCTGTCTATCCCCGTGGAACACACAACGGCAGCACACAAGCTTCTCATGTGGCCGTCCATCAAGAGACTGCTTAACGCGGAATATGACGAGGATTATGTGATGCGCCTGGAGGAGCAAAGGGGTCTGATCAGTGTTTATGGTCAGGGCGAGATCTCTTACACAGCCGACGACACGTTACTTCCAGCGCCCCCTCTGCCGAACGAGGACGGTGGCTACAGTGAAAAATTATCAAACCCGGACGGAACGTCAAAGATTCTGAGCTCGACCTCATCCACAGACGTGGATGCGGAAATCGATCGATTTGGACGCCTCAAGTTGGACGGAAAGACAGCTCATCGATATTCCCAGAGCTATCTCAACCGCATGCACAAACTGCACCCTTTCCTGTGGCAGGAGGAGATTGAGATAAAGGTCGATGCCTTCATCAGGACATATTGCCCACGAACAACGTCGCCGTCATCAGAGCCGAATACACTGTGTCGGGATAAAAAGCGCAAACGCTCGCACGAGGATCTTCAAGGGGTTCGAGGCACGTCTGCGGATCCTTCCTCGTCCCGGCCCCGGGTGGGACGGAATATCGATAACGCTATTGTTCTTCTTGTTCTGGCACTGGGTGCTATTTGCGAGCACAAGTCTCCCCTCCCTGGCCCCATCATGGACCAGAAAGTCGAGGACTACCGGGATCAGTATATCCCTTCGCCTCTTGGACCCATCCCCCCTGGACCACCACTGCAACCTGTCAACGGCGCTGCACATGCTCCGAATGGTGTCCTCTCACCTCCAAACTCCGAATCCATCGTGCCTCATAATTCCGACTATGCGCCGCACTTCCAACATACCCAGACTTACTCTTCCGAACCAGACCCCAAGCAAAATCTTTCCAGGCGGACCATCTCCGCTACTACTGATGAGTATGGTCATGTCAAGAATTTGCAAGTCATTCCTGGTCTCGCACTGTACGGCTACGCCACCACTATTCTCGGTTTGCTCCAAGGCGGCGTAGAGTTGCAGCACGTTCAAGCAGGTCTGCTTGCCGGTCTGTATGCTGGCCAGCTAGCACACCCGTTCCAAAGCCACGGCTGGATTTGTCAGGCAGCCCGCGCATGCCAGGTACTCGTCCGGCAGAAACGATACGAACGACTTCCGGAAGGGCGGACTCAGGACCTGTTTAACTTTGCCTACTGGACCTGTCTACAGTTGGAAAGCGATCTCCTCGCCGAGCTCGATATCCCCGCTAGTGGTATTTCTCGTTCTGAAGGTCGTATTAACTTGCCTAAGGGTCGCTTCACCATCGATATTCCAGACGATTTGGAAGCGCGTAGCACACGTATGATGCTGTTCTACTCGGCTCAGATTCACCTCCGCAAAGTCCTCAATCGCGTTCATACTGATCTTTACAAAGTCGACAAGCAAGGTGAAACAGGTCGATGGTCTTCGAGCGTACAAGAAACACTAAGCATGAACTTGGAGCTCTGGCGTTCTAGCCTTCCAGACACCATGAACTGGAAAGACAACGATCCGCCCGCTTCCGATATCAATGCCGCGCGCATGCGCGCTAAGTACTACGGTGCCCGTTATATTATTCATCGACCCCTACTCTATGATGCCCTTCACTACGGCCAGACTGGTGCCCGCATCAGCGCCTTGCCCAAGTCCTCTGCTGTCGATTCGCCGACCGGATCCGCCTCGAACTCACAAACACAGCAGATGTCACCATCTATGACTCATGCCTCTGGTCGCGCCAGCAGCGCACACATGCAACGCATGCTGAGCGATGTTGGCTCGGCGCCCAGCAGCCTCTCTTCTTCGTTCCCGAACGGCTGGACCCCGCCAACTATCATCTTACGTGAACTGGGATCCAAGCTGCGCCGCGCGTGCAAAGTCTGCATCGAGTCTGCTATCCTGAGTACCGAGGCGTTCGATGGTGTCGAAGACCGACTCATTGTGACGAATATCTTCGGCACGGCCCATGCGTGAGGATCTTCCTTTTAACATCTGACGAATATTTTGACTAACTTATCCTGCTTTTAGCCAATTCGGCAACATGCTCGTTCTCGCTGCAACTTACACCTCCAGTCTCTCCGAACTCGTCGAGCGTCCCGTCCTCCAGCGTTTGCTCAACCGTACCATTCGCTTCCTTCTTCGCAGCCAGAACATTTCGCCCACTCTTCGCGCCGACGCTCGCATCCTTACCGAGATCTACACCAAGATCTTCCATCGTCCCCCTGAACTCAACGAACTCGGAACGGCGTAGCTTTTGTTCTTCTTCTCCGCATGGTCTGGATCCCACCATGGATTCCGGGAGTTTCTCTTTTGGGGTTTTGGGTTGGGTTTTAAGTTTGAATTTGATTGATTACTATTTGGGATCGGGATCCCTTGAACTATCCCGATTCATTTGGTGTTTGCGTGGCGTGGGTTAGCCCTTCATCTTTGGTTCACTCTTTGGTCAGCTGTTATCTTACCCCATCATGGCCGATGCTCGGACCCTGTACCCCGTTTCTTGATGCCCTTTCTTGTTGCGTGGCATATACGGACTTTTTTTCGATTTGTGTGTTTTTTTTCCTTGCATGGGTGGTTTGAACGGCCTATCATATATCCCTTTACCTCATTTTATACCTTGGTCATATCATGAATATATATCATGCCTCCCCGTCTGGTCGTCGCCGTCGTGGCTGGCCGGGGAGGAGTTTCATTGTGCAAATTGTGTGGTATGGTGCATTGTGGTCTGTCTGTTTGATTAGTCGAGTGAACTTGGCTGGGAATAGCTGGTTGATTGGTGAACATGGTCTCGCGGTTCAGGGTTGAGTTTCCTACTTTTGTAGGTTGCGCCTCGATGTTTTTCTTGTCGTTTGATTCGGATGAATTGCGTGGCTGTTTTTTTCACGGTCTTCCCCACCCAGTCTGAATTGCTGAGATTTCTTTTCGCTTATACGTGGTCTTAGCGTGATTGATTTGGAATCTGGGTTTTGTTCCCGGATGAGAAGACAAGATAAGCATATGTGTCTCGCAGGAAACAGGTAGTACTGTATGGTCAACCCGTTACGCAACGTCCCAGCTCCTTCCTTTCCCTACCTTTTATATGGAACACACTGGTAATGATTCACCACAAAGTGACTAGCGCCTTATGAAACCACACAAGACTCGGGGGCTTCGGAGGGACAAGAGATTCTTTTGTACGGTACCGTGCTAGTGGAAAACTGACTTGTCCAAGTTCAACACATCCCCTCCCATTTGGTCGCCAGCGGGTGGATCGTATCACAATGGGCTGGTATACTTCAGCAGCCCAGGAGGCGGCGGACAAAAGGCCTCTTTGGTCACCTACAACCCCCGAGCTAAAATAAACTTGAACAATAACCGCGGTATTGCATTCAACAGCCCGGATGATATCTCGTCAATCCCAATGGAAACATCTGGTGGACAGATCCCTGGTTTGGATATCGGGGGATTCAATCCTTCCCCGCCACAAATGACGGCCGGAGTATGGTTCTTTGATTCTACGTCCGACTCTAGTAAATCACTTGAGGGGACCCTCTTATAGCCAAACAGAATTGTGTCTGGTCCGGACTGGTCGACTATCTATGTTAGCGAATCGGGCGTAAACTCGGGTAGACCGTTGACTTACCATCCCACTGGGCCTCGGACTTTGTACGCATATACGCCAGACTTGGAGACTGGTACTCTCACGAATAAGCGCACGTTCTTTATTAATGACGAGCGTGACCCTGATGGACTTAAGGTCGATATTTCATGTAACCTGTTGACTGCATCGGGCAAAGGAGTAGATGTGATTGACCCGTTGGAGCATTTGTTGGGCAAAAATTCAGACCAATTTCACCGTGACAAATCTGGTTTTTACGGGAGAAAAGCTTCAGGATCTTTGGATTTTTGTGAGTATTCGCTTTCTTGCGTGCAAGTACAAGGCTAATGATCGATCTGTTATAGGGCCCTGGAGGCATCTCAAGAGTACAAATTCGTGAAAGTGGAAAGCCCCTTGTGAAGCGTGTGTGAGATGGCCGGTAGAAAATGATCCATGCCATGCTGAAAAATATGTGCTGCAATCTTGACAATGGGGAGAAGTGATGAGAGTTGATAATTCATAATATCAATGAATATCCTCAGCAAGAAACGAAATTTCTACCAAATAATCCAAAATTAACCTTGCGGATCTCCAGACCCAATGCAACTATCCAAGTCAAAGTCAACGAGAGATATTCCAGGGTCTAAAAATCCATTCATCACCATAGACAGCTCGTCATCCGTCAATGCCTGAAATGTAGGCACGTTATATGGAGACCGTGGCGTGAGAAACGTTTCAGTCCATTGGTCTGGATCAACCTTGAGATGGTCGCGTACTTCTGACCGGAACTCCTCCATGATCACAAAGTATCGATGAGCCAGCGAACCCTCTTGTGCGATTGATGCAATTTGAGACTGACAGCGCTCGGCAGCTTGGAAGTGCTTGAGACAGAACTCGTTAACCTCCGACCACGCGCGAATAGTGTAAGTGTAAATTATGACTATAGCACAGAAGCCTTGATATTGGGTGAACTTTCAATTTTGCTTGTCAGCGAGTGCTTAACAAAGCCAAGAGAAAGGATAAAGATACAAACGTACCCAGTAAGCTGGGAATATTCTGTTCGCTTGGAACATCCTATTGATCGTGTCAAGGATGGACAGCGCCGCAGACAGGCAGGCCCTGACATCCGACCGCATATCCTCGCCAGGTGCCAGCTGCGAATCTTTCAGCTCGGATAAAACCCAACCTCGATTGACAAGAATGACAGCATGGGCATATGCAAGACTCAGCATATTACTTTGACGCTCGAACATAGGAAGAAGGAACTTGGGTTCGACCTGGCTCGCGTCTAGGAAAGGGGGTATCTGGCGTCGCCATTCTTGGAGTTCGTCGTTGAATTCTTTCCCAAGAGACATTCTGTGTGTTTCTGTTGGGATTTTAATCCCATATAGACCGTGAAGTACACGGCTGACAATCCGCACTAACCTATGAACTGTCAGACCACGGTTGAGGAAACGATTTGCTTTATTCGTACTTGAAATGCAACACTGGAGCGATCATGACCTGGCATTTCGGGTCTGCATTTGCAGTCTGGGCGTCTAAACCGCTTCGTAAGTCTGCGTCATCAATGAGAGACGGGAATTCCTTCATTCTCGTCAGATTATCTAGGTGGCCTGTATATTGTTGGACTGAAGTACCTGATCTATTTCTTCGTCATGAAATACTGACGGTCGGCCCAGCATAGCACTGAGATACTTGTCCAAATTGTATGCGCACCAAAATAGTCTCTTTCTGCTCTCCTCCTCCACTCGGTCCGCTTGACAATCAACTGCCTTGGATTGTCGTAAGCCCTTTCGATGAAGCCCCAAAGCAATGATAAGACGCGAGGCGACTCCAAACAAACTCCAACAATGATTGATTCGCGAACAGGTCAGCAGAAACAGACACTGTCCAAGCCGAGCCTGAACACTTTCCAATCGAATGGGACCTTTTTCGTCCTGGAGTTGCTTATCTGCAGCTTGAAAATATCGGACTCTGAAATTTTCAGAATAATTAGACAAACCCAGGGAAATAGAGATTAACCATACCCTTCCTGAAATTTGTGCTGATCGTACGATTCAGTAAAGTGTCGCGTCGCAGTGGCGAATACCACCAACAACACCGCATTTCGGGTCCTAGTCACGGAGCTCTGATTTGGATTCGGAGAATATGCGTTATTCAGCCATTCCTCTATTGTTCCCCGATGCAGGAATCTGTAAGTTGGAGAACCAATTATGAAGTACTTGTCGACAAGCTCGATAGCGATCTCGCGTGGTGGAAAGACGAACGAAAGGGAGTCAAAGTCGGGCAAAGCCGCATCCCCGAATGTGAAGATTGAGGTCGGCACGACCTTGTTGGCTCTCTTCTGTAGTCGTTTCCGTAAGCGTACAAAGAATGAGACATTGGAGGAAGTCCCGACAAAATGGCCTTGTTCATCGCTCATGAGCACCTGCTCACCTGTCTCTTGCTCTGATGGGGTTTCCGTATGTTCTTCAGTCTCCTGTAGTTGAGGTGTCACATCTGAGATTGACTCTACACATGGAGAGATGGAGTGAGAAGTGTCCGAAGAATGAGGGCCAGCCGGCGACAAGGTACTGTCAATTGATTGTGCATTTGATTTTCGTCTTTTAGGACTCTGGGGTGACCTTATCCAGTTGAAATCGCCTGCAGGAGGTGTCTTTGGGATGCCTCTGGTATATGGTGCAGTGAATTGACATTCGAGTTCCATCAATGAGCAGGGTCCACATGGCTGAGTACCTGAGCAGCGGCTCTTCTTCCTGCACGATGATTAGGCAAAGTTCCGGAATTGTGAGTTGACGTGATATCACATACGCTTTGCAACTATCGCAGGCACGACTTGCCCTCTGCCGTTTTTTCTCCACGCTAGAACCACGGCCGCTCAAGGCGATATCACCATAGTCTGATCGAGGTGACATTGGTAACAGTAAAGCTTAGGGAACTTGGCTAATGGAAGAGATAAGTTAGAACTTAGGAGTGACTTCTTGCTACTTCAGATTCTCACACTTTCCCCGCACTAGCACTTTCTCCACAAACCGGGGTTCCGTACGGGGTGATGATCTTTGAAGTCAGCTCCCCCGCACACGCGGTCCAACCTGATAGGATGGTAAAGCAGCAAAAAGTATTAAGCGGATTATCCGGCTCTGACGGTTATTTTTCCTAGGAAAAGGCCTTTTATTTGGAATGTATATTAGGGCGACTTCTTTCCTAGTGTTTCTAACCCAAGGAAGCCCAATTTGACTACTTACTATAGATCTATAATCAATTACTAGCATCCAATCGGCAAAATGACAACCGCAGCCGCTCACCCTCAAATTTCATGTTCATTGGACAAGAACGAGTTGCAAAATTTTGGAATGAAGGCCGGTAATGGCGACCCACTCCCTGACATTGGGTTGCTGAAGCCCTCTACGATGGATCTTCCGATGGGTGAGCTTCGGAAAAGGTATAACGAGGACGGCTATCTATGGGTAAGTCAAATTAGTACAACTATTGATAAAGATGGTACCTTGTTAACTCTCTTCTAGATGAAAGGAATTCTCGATGAAGAGAAAGTGCTTGACGTGCGGGAACAGTACTTCCGGTTTATGACTGAGAACGGCGACACTGGGATCTTAGCAAAGGGCACTGATCCCCGAGATGGTATATTCTCAGGTGAAGATTGGCGAAACTTTCTACTACCGGGTGCTCTCCGCGTCTTCAACGGTTTAAGTGACGAAGGCGCTTTCGTGGACAAGGCCTTCAAAGCTCACGTCGCAGACTTTTACCAACAGTTTAAGGTAAATGTCGAAAAGCCCCTCAGAGAGTTCGTTGGTGAGCTTCGTCAATTCCGAGATCCTATGCTGTTGAAGCGAACTCTACTCCGATGCAATGTACCCGGTGGAGAGACTACACCTGTTCACTATGACCAGATCTTCCTTCGAGATGGTCCACCGACTTCCATTACCGCCTGGATCCCACTCGGAGACTGTCCTTTGGCTGGTGGGGGACTCATGTACTTGGATAATTCAGTCCCAATTGGAGAGAAATTCGAGGCGGACTTCTCGGAGAAAAGCAAGAGTTTAACAGATGAAGAGCGAGTCTCTGCATTCAACAAGAACATGATGGCCGGGGGATTCATAGACAGAAATGCGGCAAAGTTTGGAAAGTACTGGGGTCGCCGGTGGCTTGTGGCTCACTACGAGGCTGGCGACGTTGTTTTCCACAATCCTTTCAAGATCCATGCCAGGTAAGACAGTTTTATTTGTTCGTGGTATTTGGAGCTTCTATAAGGAGCAGCGGGCACGGATGCTAATACGTTCTGTTGTTAAGCTGTCGCAATGAGAGCCCCGAAGGCATAATACGACTCTCTACAGATTTGCGATTCGTTGATCAAGCTGAGCCTTTTGACGAAAGATGGCTGTATGAAGCTTATCAAGACAGCGACCCAAATGTTGCCAGCCGTCAGTCACAGGTATCTGGCGGGAATGGACGAAGGTAATTGGCGACCCTGCTTCTGCCCTATTATTATTAGAGTCCATATTAAGTTATTAAAGTCCTGTTGTTTTTGGTCTCATATAACGTTCAAGACAAGAAAGAAAATAACTCCTAGATTCGCTTTATCCGATGAAGGAAGCTCAGATTAAACCCCGCATTCATGACCATCTTTTTCCGATTGGTGCTTTCTAGTCGCGTCTCGGGTATGCAAGACTCGGATACTTTCCCTGGAGCCACAGGCTTGGCCAAGTGGGTTTGCCCCAGAGTAGTCATCCTTGGGGAGCAGGAATATAAGGCTGAACCTTTGCCTGTGCCTCTCCGTTATTCGGAATTGATCATCTCAAGTTAACCAGATCAACTTTGTGTGACGTGCCAATCTCAGGTTTCCAACTCAGGACTATCAAAATGACAAGTAGAAATGATTCCAAGCCTCCCACCGACCATATTGAGGATGCGACAAACTCCGGAATTGGAGACAACAATACTGGAGACGCCGCCTTGGCGCTCTTCAATGATCCCAAAGAAATGCATGCATTTGTGGATCCTGCCGAGGAGAAGCGCCTCATTCGAAAAATTGACTTGATGATACTTCCATGCCTATCCGTGTGCTATATCTTCTTCTATGTAAGACCGCTGCACCAATCGGTACCAAAGAAGACAGACTACAGTAGCTAACGTTGAGCGAAGATTGACAAAACGACGCTATCCTATGCCGCGATCTTTGGAATCAGCAAAGATTTACATATCGTCGGAACCCAATATAGTTGGCTGTCATCAATCTTCTATTTTGGTTTCCTTGCCTGGCAACTGCCAACCAATCTCTTGATGCAGCGATTTCCCACTGCAAAATATCTCAGTTTGAACATTATCGTCTGGGGTATTCTTCTTGCACTCCAGGCTGTAACAAGGAATTTCGCCACACTAGCCGTTCTCCGAGGACTGAGTGGCGCTGCAGAAGCGTGTGGTGATCCAGCTTTCATGTTGATAACTGGAATGTGGTATACAAGGCGCGAACAACCTATCAAGATTGGGCTGTGGTACTCTTCTCTGGGCCTTGGAATCGCGGGGGGTGGTCTGCTGGGCTATGCAATTGGTCAAATCAAAGGGTCACTACCAAGCTGGCGGTACGAATTTATCATCATCGGAGCCCTTTGCGTCGCTTGGGGCATTGTAATGTTCATCGTGCTCCCCGATTCTCCAGTCTCGGCCCCGCTCCTGTCCATGGACCAAAGAAAACTAGCAGTCGAGCGACTGCGGGAAAATCAGACTGGAATCGAGAACAGAAATTTCAAGCGTTACCAACTGATTGAGGGTTTCACAGACCTCAAGGTGTTGTGCTTCTTCTTCATTGCTCTTCTTCAGGCAATCGTGAATGGGGGTATCACTAACTTCGGTACACTGATTGTGAAGGGCTTTGGGTACACAACTTGTGAGATGCCACCCACTTGCCCTTGGCTGTACAATGGAGAATAGGTGCTGACTTCCACAGTGGGAACGACACTCCTGCAAATACCTTACGGAGTCTTCATTGCTCTGGTCATTCTATTTTGTGTCTGGGTCAATGACAAGATGCCACCTAACAGCAGATGCCTAATGATCTTGGTATTTCTTTTCCCCAACATTGCCGCTGCATTTGGTCTACGATTTGTGCCCCGAGGTGCCAAAGTAGGACGGCTAATCTGCTACTATGTAATGTTTACCACAAACTTCCAGGAATGGCGGGAGCAAATGCTAATTCTGTATCAGTTGACGGGATCTTACAATGCCTCTTTTGTGATGCTTCTCTCCTTGACGACTGCTAATATCGCCGGACACACGAAGAAAGTCACAAGCAGTGCTTGCCTGTTCGTCGGATATTGTGTTGGAAATATTGCTGGTCCTTTCTTTTATAAGACTAATCAGGCCCCGGAATACTCCCTCGGTATCTGGAGCATGATAGTCTCACATCTTCTTGAAGTTGTGGTCGTTGTGTTCTTGTGGATCCTGCTGAAGCGTGAAAATCAAAGGCGGGATAATCTCCAGAATGGCCCCGGTGTTCAGGGTGAAGGGTCTGGCTTCGATGTTGACTTGTCGGCATTCAGCGACATGACAGATAAGGAGAACCCTAACTTTAGATATGTCTACTAGCTATTAGGTTTTTGAATTGGTATGAGCGGTGGTACAATACAAATGCTATAGATTTGATTGAAATTTCAATTACCACAGGAAGGCACGCACTATTAAAGAGATCATAATCGTATCTGCATCAGACATTATTTACAAGCATCCTTAACAAAACTTGCCCGTGGTTATCTGAATACTATCGACACTTGATACCAGCTCGTCCTACTCCTCTTTACCCCAAAGTATCACCGCCCATTTCTTGACTGTCTAGCAAGTACCCGAACAAAGAGTCAAGGTGACATCTGAGTTGGAATCGCAAACTTTGACTTGACTGGCTCCACTAGTAGCAACACCAGATGGCCAGCAGATGCTTGGGCAGCTTGCCGATGCTTTGACGCCAATTGCATGGTTAGAGAAGGGATCGCCGAAGACATCCGACAGATCGTACCAGACTTGCTGGCCGTCGAGGGTGTATGCAAAGTTGGTCTGGGGACTTCCGTTGTACAGTCCATTCTCGACGGTGGTGAGCTTGATGGCGATGCCACCGGAGGCAGGATCATGGTGTAAAACCTCAGAATAGGTACCGCCAGAAGCGACAGTGTACTCTTGGCTGACAGAGCCGCCAACGGACCAGAGATAGACGGGGAAACCGCACTTGTTGACAACCTTGGCGTTACCGACAGCGCTGACAAGAGGAGCCAGGGCCGCAACGGTAGAGATGACAGCTGTGGTGAACCGCATTGTGGATTATGGTCGTATGAGAAGAACAGGAGGATCTTTGAGAAATTAGATAGTATGGATGAGCTCTGTGTAGACTGGGTAAGAATGGGTTTAAATAGCTTTTTTCCAGGTCTTTGCCAAGGAAGCTATACGAGTTCTCATAATATCGTCTTGTCATAGTTGTCAGTCGTAACCATAATCAGTCCACCCATATTCGGATTATCTGAGACAACGATAATGAAGCGCCGAGTCTGACCGCCAGTAAGGCCACCATAGGAAAGGGACCGGATATTCCATGAGCCTTGCGAGCCCCCCATTGAAAAATAGACAGATCGACATGGTCGAGTGTTCGCGATGCTAGTATTGGTTGATATGAGGCCGAAGATGGCAAGATGTCTCTGAGCTCGGACTCCGGCGACTCTGCAAGGCTGTGCCACGCGTAGTGCCACACCCGTTCTGGTGGGGGACTTAGCGAGACCCTGAGACATAGTTACATCCCAGGTCCAACGTACATATTTCCAGAAATTTCTGACAGTCGAGAAGTTCGTGCAGATCATCGTCAGAACTTGGGCGCGGTGTGGTTGGTAGTGTCTCACCCACTGAGTTAGTGCGATGTGATGATGCTGAGGTCAACCTGGCATACTCTAACAGTCATATGATATACGAGATCAGGCACAAGTGAGCAGGTTTTCGGAGAGCATATGGATCTCAAGTACGGAAGAAGGCGGATAAGAAGGAGCATTGCCCATGGTAAGGCAGTCACCTAAATTGTCTCACTCTGGACTTGGGATGTCTTTCCCCCGGATCTGCCTTTGGTGACAGGACGAATCAAGGACTTGGGCATTCCCAGCCAAGGTCTTGCGTGGTCGGCTAGTCCACCCTGAGTGAAGAACCCGTGTGATGCGAGAGAATGAAAATTAATCTTGAAACACTTGTTACCCTCGCGAATGAACGCACTACATGGTATTCAGCCCTGCTTCCAAATCACCATCGAGACAATTATTTAGCAGTTAGCCTGGCTAACCAGTTAGTTATTCAATTTTTCTGTCTTAGAACTTCAGGTGGAATCTCCCAGTCACTAAACATGATCTACCAGAGTCGACCATTAATCTATGAAAGCTGCAAAATCTGACTGATATAGCTGGAGCAGAAGAAGAGAAACAGCTGCTATTTGGAAGGACCCTGGAAATAATTCAGTCTTTTGGCCAGCACACGAACGTCACATAACTTCAAGGCGGGATGAGCCCCACCGAGCGTTCCCCGCAATTATGAGACTTGGATAAGGAACCCAGTAATTCATCAGCTGTCTCCTCGTTCATTTAACTACCTCTATAGCACATTTTAGTAACCGAGGCAAACCGGCCTATCGCTATTCCACTCCCTGTCCCTGTGTTGAGCGATGAATCAAAAATAGCCTGGACTATAGCTTCCACCAATCATAGAAAAGGAACTCTGGATATAGGATCGGGCTTTCGGGCTTTCGCAGAACCCTGCACTTCCCCGCATTATTCAACCTCAGGGTCTTAATAGATTTCCATTTATGAGACTATTCCCTAATTGTCAGAGTCGGGACGTGGCGCGGCATATCTCTTTTCCCAGATCAAATCCATCTGCCCCCCCGCATCCAGCACACTATTGAAATGCTGTGAAGGAGATGGACTTTTGTTTACTTTTTGATTTCTATAGAACTTGCGAAAGCGTTTTTCCGGTCACTGAGATTGACTAGACAGGATTGAAATACTTTAAAAGCAAGGACTCGATCACCGAACAAGAAGATGTTGTCGTAAAGTCTTCTCTTTCAAAGCCCTTTTTCTCAGAGCCAAGATGGGAATCATAATTCACTCAGTCTTAGCAACACTTTGCATATTCAAAGCTTTTGCTGCCCCTTCTTCTCATGGGTCAAGTACACATAACTCTGAGCTCATCGTTGAAACGTCTTCAGGCTCGATCCATGGCTTCATCAATCACACTGCGCCTGACGTTCGCCAATTTCTGGGCGTTCCATTCGCAGAGCCACCCGTTGAAAACCTTCGTTTTGCGAAGCCAGAGAAGAAGAAGCCAACTGGCCTTGTCAAAGCCTTGAAGCTTCCTAACTCTTGCATGCAGCAGTTTAACCCCAATAGCTCCACCATCTACACTGCGTACGAGACGGGCTTCTTGATCAGTGGGGGAAATTCCGAAGATTGTCTTTACCTCTCGATATGGGCACCCAGACTTGAAAATACCCGCTTACAGCAGCGGCCTTTGCCTGTTCTGCTCTATATTCCTGGTGGGGGCTTCACGAGTGGAGGTCAGGCTTCACTGTACAAGATCCCTGATCAATGGGTACAACGAACACAGTCTCATATAGTCGTGATTATGAAGTAAACGGCACCAAAATCCGCGGAGGAAATGCTTTCTTACTGATTCGATCTAGCTATCGCCTGAATGTCTTTGGCTTCCCCAACGCAAAGGGTCTAGCTGACCAGAATTTGGGGCTGCTGGACCAAAGACTGGCGTGTGGAATTCCAGATTCGTTCCCATTGGCACACTACTAACAATTAACAGTGTCGAATGGGTACACGATAATATTGCAAATTTTGGCGGCGATCCAGAGAGGATCATCCTGTGGGGTCAATCTGCTGGTGCAGGCAGTGTCAGTGTCTACCCCTATGGATACCCCGAGAATCCAATTGTGGCAGGGCTTATTGCAGACTCTGGTGGCTCTGGAATTGTTGGTGGAAGTGACTCGGGGCAGACAAACTTCACATATCTAGCAGGACTTGTCGGGTGCAAGAATCTTGGACCTGATGACGAGATCGCTTGTGTCAGGAAAGTGCCAGCTCAAGATCTGGAGAACGCTCTATCTTGGTATTCTGGTAATAACACAAGCCCATCCATCTCGTTCAAACCCGTCGTGGATAACGAGACCGCGTTCGTCAATTGGACTCAGAGGGTACTGGAAGGAAAGATTGCCAAAATTGTGAGTTCGTCGTCCTTCGACAACGAAATACAGAGTGAAAGGTAAAGCTAACAGATTTTTTGAAGCCGTTGATAATAGGTAGCAATACAAACGAAGGAGCTGGCTTTGTCTCTTTTACTCCTAATGGACCTGGACAAGCAGCGCTGGACAAGGCGACAAAAATTATCAGCTGTCCCGTCGCAGCAGAAGTGAAGAACCGTAACGCCGGAGATCTCCCAACCTACCGATATCAGTATGCTGGTAACTTCTCCAATGTCTCGCCTCTGCCATGGTTTGGCGCTTATCACAGTTCCGAATTGCCTTTGCTCTTTGGCACCCACTCTGAATATGGAGGTGTTTCAACCAACTTTGAGTGGAATGTGAGCTACGCGATGGAGGCTTTGTGGCTAAGCTTTGCGGAGGATCCGTCCCGTGGACCAGTGCGACTTGTTATTGGCGACGGAGTTGCTGGAAATCCTACGAATACCAGCTTTTTTGCATGGCCTCAGTTCCGGCAGGGCTCCTCGAATATGCTGTTGTTTGCTCAGCACAACAAGGTCATGCAACTTGTATCTTCAAAGAGTATTGACGATGGCTGCTCCAGCTCGTAAAGAACTTTTGGGAAGGGAGGTTTGGGGTATTTGAGGAACACGGGCATATTATCTTGATTTGACGTCGTTGCATGACTGCTGTTCACTGCATTCTATTTCGGTAAACAATGCAATTTCAAAACGCCCGATATCGTTCAATTCACACAAGTCAAAGCTAGTCGGCAGATTGAGTGGCATTCGAGTGCTTCAAAATCTCAATTGAACTTCAAGATCATTTGTTTCCTCAATCACATATTCAAGGATAAATTGAAATATGCTACCTAGGCTATCTAGGAAGGTGAATTGGACGAAGTTTTGAAAGATCTTTCAAATAGACAAAGATACGGCCTGTCCACCAAGATACGACCTGTCCACCTGGACCTTTTCTCTGCTCTCTAGATCCGGTTCCTTAGGTATACTACCTTCCTCTGACCTAGGTCTTAAATAATTGGCATGCAAAAAAGGAAAACCAGCTATAAATTCAATCTTAAATCCATGGAATTCAGCCGCCGTCGACCGCTATTGTGACCCCCCCTTGTTGTCGATCTTCGCTCGTGTAGTGAATTGCTCGGTGCAACAATCAAGTTTGTGCTTCATCCAATGAGCCCAGCCAGATTCTTGAAGATACATGCTCTAAGGCTGAGGTTGAAGGTGATGGTCACATGCATGAAACTCTCCCGAGCTTCTTACCCTCTCGGAAATTTCGCGCTTTACATTTTGAGCCTCAGATATCGTGTCTGTCCATGGAAACCCAGATCGAAGCAGGTTCCTGTTCATGCCATCCAAGATATTGGCAGATGTTTCAATGTAGCGCCTTCTTCCAGGACTCAAAGTCATCTCACCGACCTCATCGTCTCTGCCATCTTCGACGTTATCATTTCCAGATTCGGTGTGAGTGGGAGGAAGAAAGAGTTTCGTGATTTCCTTGGCTTTCAGAACTGTTTCATCGACCATCCCCTTCCGTCCTTGAAGAGTCAATGTCCGATCACGGAGCTCAGCCCAGGGTGCAGCTTTGTTGGGCCTCAATGCAAGTTCTTCCATTGCCTTCGCCTTATTTGAAATAGTTTGTAATCGATGTAAGAAGTTAACTTGGTTGTATGAGTCAATATCCCGTTCAAGCGATCTGAACCACATAATATCGTCAAGTGATATCGTGCGCTCTTTTGACTTGTAGATAATTTGAGCGAAATATTCCTGTAGTTTACCAGAGAAGGCCACCTGTTGGTTTTCAAGATCTGTCAATGCATTCAGGGTATGGAAATAATCCTTCTCGGATTTTACCATGGCTTCATCGAACGCCTTCTTGGCCTCTTCCGGCCAAAGAAGGTCGTTCAGAGCATCTCTTGACCTAAGGAATTCGAGCTCAACGTTTTGAATACCAACATCGTGAGGACTTTCCCGAACTGCAGAAGGGCTTTCCCGAGCACCTGAAGCGAGATACTGAACCAGGTCCCGGTCCATTTTGACTGAGTGATAACGCAGCATATCCAGAGTATCCACACTGGGCTTCTTCCATTCCGTTCTCGGAAATATGTGTTTCAAATTCTTTTTATTGATGAAATGCCCGGCAACACAGGTCATGACAAACTCCCATTCGTCTTTCTGGGCTGCATCGAAGACCAGCTTCGGTTCGACAATATCACCACCCATGAGCGCTCTTGATGACTCGCAAAACACATCGTCTTTCTCAGGATTCTTGATGGATTCCAGTATGCGTGAGAGTCTGATTGATAAGTCAACTTGACGTTGTGACAAGAAAAGAGTCATCAGTGGATAGTCGGCGTGGGCTTGGGCAATGGAGAAAGACGTCAGCCCCCGATTGTTACGGGCTAGTATGTCTGCCCCATGCTGTATAAGCGTCTCACACATGTGGGTCCGATGGTATGAAAAGAATTCAACTTCAGTGCGGCCTGCTTGACAAGCTCGGAGAAGAGGAGTGTTGCTTTTCTCATCGGGGGTGTTAACATTGAAGCCATATGCGAGCAACATTTTCACCAAATCCACTCTGAAGGCCTCTGCGGCCACATTGATGGCAGTGACATAGAGCTTTGGCGAATGTACACGACTGAGATTGCGGCTTGGGTTGGGTAATTTTTCCAGGTACTGCCGAAAAACGGACGATTCCCCCTTGGCAGCACCAAATATCAACGCATTGACATGTAGTTTTTCGACGACAAAGTTGTCCGGAGGCCGGAACATGTTGAAAATACTAGGATTCTCCCAAGCAAGAGACATACTGAATGGAGAAGAGCCCTTTGCATCCTCTACGAAAGGGTCCGCCCCTTTCTTGAATAACATGGAGACAAGATCAGCGCGCCCGATGTCCATTGCCAGGTGAAGTGGAGTCCGACCAAGACGGTTCTTCGCCTCTACATCAACTCCAGCCGCCAAGAGAATTTCTATGCTTGTGCGCGACTTCCGCAGAACAGCACAATGGAGCGGCGTTCCGATCTCGTTGACCGCCTGCGTCAGGTCGGCCCCAGCATCCATCAGCGCCTTCAAAACTTCGTCTGCTCCCTGGGAGGCCGCGGCATGCGCGGGAGTGAAGCCAAAATCGTCCTTGTGGTTGATGCTCACACCCCCAAGCATCAAGATCTTGGCGTTAACCAGTGACCGGCAAAAGTGAAGAGGGGTACGCCTTCTTCCGTCCAGTTCATGGCAAGAAGCATTGCGAGCCAGAAGAAACTTAGTCATTCGATCCGAAGATCCCATCGCAGCGATATGCATTGGCTTGATTGATGCGCTGTCAGGTCGATTGATAGCTGCTGAATCGAGTTTGAGGATGGATTCCGCAATCTGCTCAGACTCTCTTGTATCGCGACAGGAGGCAATTTGTACGGCGAAATGAAACGGGTATGTAAACAGGGATGTGCTATCAGGCTGAACTAACTCCATGCTGGCCAGGGTAGGGGCATGCTCAAGAAGGAGCTCAACTGTGTCAACATCTTCGAGATCAATGGCCTGCGTGACTGAATTTCTGCCTTCGGGAGATGGCTGGAGGAGAAGATCCAGCGGGAGAAGCTTGATCGTCTCGCGCAGCCTCTGCTTATACATACAGCCATGAATAGCAAATCGTTCCGCATTCGTCAATAGACTCAAAGCACAGGCAATTGGAAAAGACTCCAAGGTAGCGGCTTGATGCAGATGAGTGCCAGTCACCGTCGTTTCATCGAATGCCGCTTTCCAAAGCAGCAGAAGTATATCGGGGTGATGATACTTGACTGCAAGATGGATTGGCGAAAAATTGGGGCCTGTACTGTCGTCGGTGTTTTCAATGGCGGGAGCTAGGGGATCTGCACCCAGACTGAGGAGGAACGTGACCACGGACTTGCTGCCAGATGCGATCGCTATAGCAAGAGGTGTTCCATGCACCCGAAATGGCCATTGAGGGTGGAGTATAATGCCATCAGTAGTCGCATAATCTAGTGCAAGTTTGAAATCGGAGTCGCGAGACTGGTCTTTCAAAAACGACTGGACTTCGTGGAGAGTGGTCTCATCCAGACTGAAGAGCCAATGAAGGAGCGATGGAGCTGGAAGCACAGAGGAAATATTCGCACCGGATTTCAGAAGGGGGATAACTATGCTGTCATGACCTCGAGAAGCCGCCGACACAAGAAGAGAATCCAGTTTTGAGGCTGCCTCCGACTGCCCTACAAGAGGTAACAGCCTCTCCACGAACTCAGCATCACCCTGATGTAGTGCAACTTCCAGCAAGGAATGCTGCGAAGTGGATCCATTTATAGAGACAAAACCACCAAGCACCCCGTCTTTGTCGTTCGTCCATGACTGGGGTCTTCGCTCATAAAAGACTTTGCGAAAATCAGCATAGTTGGTGAATTTGGTGACCGACGCCCCATCAAACGCAACCAAGGAGGTTATGATTTCAGGTGTTCTGGTGGCACTGAACCCCAAAGCAAGGCATTCATTATACGGTTGTACCTCGGTGGTTGAGCTCTCATTGAAGCCATTGAGTATACGGTGCCCCAGTATGCGAGCGACCATATGACCCTCATCCTCGGCCATTTGAAGAAAGGAAGTCGCCTTAATCAGATCTTGAGATGTCCCAAAAGCGTTCACATAGCATAGCATGGTTTGGAATGCGATGGAACCTTCGTGTTTATTAGATTTGGACCCCTTGGCCACGGTTTCAAAGTCTTGCAAGAGTTGCTGCTGCTGCTCCCAGATGATGTATGGGCCGCTCTCTCTGCTAAAGATCGAATATCTGACATCCCCAGACATGGCATATGTTGCGAGCTTTGACTGAAGCGAGTGCCCACCGGGCGTCTTGTGCCATGAAACAATGATTGGGAGACGACTGAGGTCCGAGATCCTTTGTGCCGGATCGACATGCAGAGTATGGTCCATCAAGGGACGTAGAAATCCTCTCTCAAAGCCAATTCCGGGTATTTTCAGGTTGTTCACAAAGTCTATCGCCAGAGCCCTGAGATGAGAGACGTTAAAGTGACCGAAAACATGCTGATCATCCTCGTCAATGTCATCAGGAGCCTCTGAGCTGGTCGGGGATGTCAATAATGTGGACATGGAATGGGGACGTTCATAGAGAGAGTTCCTGCGCCAGCTACGCTGAAAATAGAGCTGGCCGTTTGCCAATATTTCCCACGCACAGAGACCGAAAGCCCAGATGTCGCATTTGTGAAGCTGCTCCAATGGGATGGGGTTGTCCTTCTGCTGGGCAACTTCTGGTGCATTATATCTGGTAGTCATGTATTAGCTTCGTTTGGTCACTCAAGAATGTTTTAAATCCTCTAGGCGGACTCACAAGGTGGTTCCAAAATACTGCATCTTCTTCTCTGAGGTGGATCCCACGATAATGGAATGTCCAAAGTCGGACACCTTGGCGATCGACATGCAAGGCCGGTCCAATGACGAAAATACCACGATGTTATCCATTTTTAAATCTCCATGAATGATTCCACATTTGTGAAGTGCCATAAGACCCGCGCCTACATCACCCATAAGAAGCAACTTCGTTCTAATCGGGTGTTCTTTCTCCTTCATGTATGCCCTCAGTGTACCCTTCGACGCAAACTCAACCGAGATGAACGTCGACGGGCGTTGGTTTTCAACGCTCCAGCCATAACCCAGGATATTAATGATATTCGGGTGGTGTGCGAGCGGCGGATGGCACATAATCAGGATTTCGCGCAAGACAGATTGTAGTCGCCTTTGGAAGTAGGAACGCTCGAGGCTTTTTCCTTCTTCGTTGAGCTGGATACGCTTGATAGCAACGACAGTGCCTTCATACTTGCATTCTGAGACAGCGAACGTCTCCCCTGCAGCTACAAAGCGGATTTCCTCCAAATCTTCGGCTTGAAAACGTTTCAATTTCAGTTGTTGCACCGTGTGGAGTAGACTTTCCAGACTGTTCATAGACTCGACATCTATATTTTCGCTGAAGCCAAGGCCGTCCACAGTGGACACGCGAGATCGTGAAATTGAGGTAGTCCACGTCAGTATGTCGCTCTGCAATTCATTGGGCGCTCGACCTGGTTATATGGTTAGCTACAAGAGGAGCAACTAGGTTCCTGAGAGCGAGCCTGAATGACATACACTGGACCCAGTCATCGTTCAAGGAGGAGACTGACATCGTGACTTCTGGTCTTGGACCCAAGAACCGGAGATACTAGTCCGGGCATCGTCTTGATGGAGTGTCGCTAAAGAAAATCAAAAAGGTGAGTGAGTATGTAGCTGAGGCCGTGCGGGGGGCCAGAGTGCACACCCCTGGCGTGATTGGACGTTGTCAGCCTCACGCATGCACTTCGTAAACCCCGCAACACGAAGAGATCTCCATCTTCATGGACACTTTATGGTGAGATTTAACGGTTGCGTGACTCTATAAACTTATAGAGCTTGCTGTCCTGAACTATGATTGATCCACTCTCCGTGGCGGGCCTAACCTTCGCGGTCGTTGATGCGCTGATCAAACTCGGAGAAAGGACCAGTGAGCTCATTTAAGATGCGAATGCATTCGAGAGTGTTAGTCAATTTGATTCGTAATATGAAACCGTCGCTAACCAGCCTTTAGGACTCGAACGAACTGCGAAACCTGGTCAACGACGAGAATATCCAGACTAAGCTCATCCGCAATCTGCTTTTCTCCGATTGCATGGTATGTCCCTGTGAAGAAAGCCGCTTCAGAGTGTGCTCGTCGTTGATATGAACAAATGCCGTGTAGGTGTACGGTGGTAAAACTCTTTTCGAGCAATTTGACCCAGACATCCAGCGGCAGATCGAGCTTCTCTGCGTCGAAATCAAATCCATTCTGCAGGAATGCGTTGACCTTCTTGAGCGCCGATATGGTGTTTCCACGACCTGTAGTATTTCCAAAGAGGATAGTGTTTGCAAAGAGTCGCCAGCCATATCTTTGCTAAACGTATCTACCTTGTCGCTCTCGCGAAGTTGGTCAAGTTCGTCTGGCACATTGCACAGCCTGTCACGGAATCGGACCAGCACGTCTCTCCCGGGACTCCTTAGGTGGTCTCTGCGCGATAAAAAGCGCGTCGAGGCTATTCTGCAATCGTTCAAGGATCGCAATTCCCGCTTGAAGAAGAAGGTGGAGCTCTGGTGTCTCGCATCGCAACTGGGCGTTTCACCAGAGCATTTGATGCATCTTCAAACAGACGAGTCGTCTAGGAGACTTGGATTCGATCAGGATGCATCGTTGCGTCTGGCTCAATGGGACGCGGGCAAGATGGCCGAGTCCCTGGAGCTTCTGGATCACTCGTGGGACGCACATCTCAAAGAGATCCACCCAGCCGACCACCAAGGCATGTTCGCCATGTTCACGAAGAATAATGTCGCCTATATCCAGGAGAATCATCGCTACAATCCCATGGTCACACCAGCCACATCTAGGTACGATGTCGATGCGCGGACCAGGGGGCGGATTGAGTCTCTTGCCAAGCTTCTGCATCAACCCAAGGAGCAAGTGTTTCGCGTCCTTCCTTGTGTGAGGTGGAAATATTTGCCTCGCCAAGGCTCGATCGCGTTTGTCTTTGAGGTCCAGCCCAAGCCTATAGGAGCACCTGTTAGTCTTCAAAGGCTGCTCTTCAACAACGACCACCGCCCAGAACTTGGAGACAAGTTTCGCCTTGCACTTGGTCTCTCGAAATGCATAGCTCAGATACAAATGGTCCAATGGGTATGTTCAGTTCCACTCTCAATTGATTATTTGAAAGACCCACAATGGCGCTGATCATACCCACTCAGCTGCACGAGAGCTTCCGAAGCGACAATATCCTGCTCCTGCCCCATCATGTCGATGATGAAAAGGTGGGCACTCGTGTCGCAGTGAACTATCCAGAGCCATGGGTTCTTGGATTCGAGTTCAGTCGCCCAGAGCCCTTTTTCTCTGTGGGACATTTCGACTTTGAGCCCACTCGCGACATTTACCGCCATCCAGACCGCCAAGGCCAGCCCACAGAGATGTTCAAGAAGGTTCACGACATATACGCGCTGGGAGTCGTGCTGTTGGAGATCGGATTGTGGGAGCCGGCCGTTAAACTGGAGAAGCACATGTTCTCGAATGCTAGCAATCCTCGCGCCGTCCAGGCGCAATTGATCAAGCATGCCCAGAAGAGGTTGGAGTCACGTGTTGGACGAAAGTATAAAGAGATTGTATTGAAGTGTCTTACGGGGGACTTCGGTGTAGACGATGATACAAAGGAAGATCTGAAACTTCAGCAAGCATTTAGATATCAGATCGTTGATGTGATTGAAATGGCTGCAAATTATGTTTAACAGTAGATATCCATGTCACTGCTTCTTCCATGTGGATGTAAACACGTTCGAGATATATATACTCCACCTCTACCTCCTCAATCTCCTATGTAGGTACCAAAGTTCCGAAGATCATACACCTCCGCAGTCCGCGCATGAGAAATTCTGAAATAGAAATCATGACGAACGTGTGGATTCGCTATATGCTATAGCGAGAAACCTAAATGTATGGATTTAATCGAGCTTGCCCATCCATGACGGGACGTTTTTGCATATGGAGAGGAGTGGACGCGTAAGAGGACCAGAGGGACCGAGCATTGATTACACGAGTAACAGATTTGATGATCGAGATTCAAGCTGAGTCTCAAAAGCATTGAATACGAATAATTCTACAGTGATAAAACGCATCTACTGGGGACAACATCGTAGACCAGCATGGCAACCGGTCGTAGACCGTGAAAAAGGAAACGATCATATTTCGTAACACAAGCGCCGTACCAAGGGAGGGAAAGATTTTGTAAGTTTTTTGTTTTGAAAAAGAATTTCCTTTTGCCTTCTCGTTATGAACAAGAAAAGCTTGAGTATCACATCATCATCGCATCTTCCTATTGCCCCAATATTTCCCAGAGATCCCAGAAGCCCGAACCCCCACGCGATCCAAAGAGAAGACTGGTAAGCGTTGTCGTCGTCTTCACAGAAAAAATAGCCCGACTATAGGAAGAGGGGGTTTCTCGAGAAAAAGGCCGACACTAATGTATTTCGAGGAGACAAAAGGGGGATAAGAGTAGTGCAGCCGCTTTTTCGAAAAAGAGATCCCCAGAACAAACCCAGTAAGTTTTCACCCGCCTTCATAACCTCCGTACCGATGAACGAGAAGAGTGTCACGTCACACAACGGAATGCAAGTTTTGGGAACGGATTTACTCCTGGGCCTCGGCGGCCAGAGCGTTGCGCTTGGCCTCGACACGCTCAGCGCGGCGCTCACGGAGAGCCTTGTTCTTGGCACGCTTAGCATCCATCTCCTCCTTGAGGACACGCTCACGTTGGCGCTCAGCCTTAGCCTTCTGGATCTATAGATTTGCAAGAGAATGAGTCAGTGTGTTGTTCCTGTTTTCCTTCAAGCGTGGGAAGGTTGTATTCGATTCAAGTCGAGGGAGAGGAAAGCGAGTTTCATCGGGGATGACTTACGTGCTCAACCAGAGCACGCTTGTGCTTGAAGGTGTTACCCTTGCTCAGGTGGTAGAGCTCGTGGTAGAGGTGCTTGTCGATCTTGCCAGCGGCACGGTAGCGGACGAGCAGACGACGGAGGACACGCATGCGGCGCATCCAGAGGACCTGGCTGTAGAGAGAAAAAAACACAAAAATCAGTATAAACTGTTCTCCTTGTGCATATTCTACTGGAACATCCGAAGTCGATATATTCGGGAACCAGCAGAGATATCGGACGATAGAATTCCTGCGTACCTGGGCATACGGGCGTCCTTGGTACCCTTGCGCTTACCCAGACCGCGGTGACGACCGATGCGGCGGGCCTCGTTCAGTTCACGGGCGCGGGCGCGGGAGTGCATGGTGACGGGCTTCTTGATGATGAGGCCATCGCTGACGAGCTTGCGGATGGTCTGACGAGAGTTGGCGTTGGAGATCTCGGTCATCTCATTGGGGTCGAGCCAAATCTTGCGCTTGCCGCAGCCGACCACGGAGGCCGCGAGGCGCTTCTGGGTGCGAAGGTTGACCCTGGATAGATGAAAAAAAGACGGGGTCAGCCTCTGCACACAACACTTTCCATCCTGTCTTCCCGTCTCTGCTACCAGCGGCGTCGGTTCCAAAAGTTCGAGCGTTGGATTGACATGGAGCACCGGGATCGTTCGGAATATCGTAGGAGATAAAACTCACATCTTGATGTCGGCGTATCGACGGTCGTTGGCGGATGATGTTCGTTGCACTTGACGGGAAAACCAGACGGTGAGGAGTTTGGGGCGGGCCGATTAGCTAATGTGCAGTAAGCGAGTCCCCCTCCACCCGCTGCGCATTTGAGGGTTAGGGCTGTACCCTATACGCTAGTCCTGATCGGGAGCCCGTCCGATCTCAAACTTCAAGTTTGACGGAGATACCTCGTGGGATTCTATGCTTGTGAAACTCGGTTTTGGATTCCTGTAAATTTTTTTAAGAAAATATCTTGTTATGTTAGCTCTTCATTCTCACGTCCAGAACCGCTAGTGTTGTTCAACAGAGAAGGCATTGCTGTTGGAACATCATACACGTGATTAGAGAAATTACTGGTATGGATCACATGACATAATATGTCCATTTCGGGAAAAGCGGCGAATCCAACGTAACAACTATGGGGCAGTCAATTGTTATGGGCTACATGACATACCAACCAGTTGGAAGTTCAGTGTCTCGTAAACAGATTCTCTAGATCTATTCCGACATTGGCTGAATATGGACATGCATAAAAAACGTGAACAGACTTTTGTACGAAGCTTAAACACAAGAACCAGAATTGAAAAAGGGAAGTCCAAGGGTATATCTATAGACATGTAGATGCAACCTTGGAATGCTCCGACAAAAAGAAAAATCATCAGTCATCGCCAAATGAATCATCTCCCAGATCCACCTTGCCAATACTCCACACCTCCTTCTCATCCTCCACCTCATCATTCGACAAGCCCAGACCACCTTCACCACCCTCGGCGACCCGGCGCTCGCGGGCCTGGGTGGCAAGGCGCATAGCAACTCGCTTGAAGTAATCCGACATGCTACGCTTCGGCCCGGGGGCTAGCGAGGCACCGGGACCAGCCATGTACTTGTCAAACACCTCGCTGTCCGAGTCCACAACGGAGAAGAGTGACAGGAAAGCGGCTTCGGAAGCCAGCTTCACGGGAATCACCAGGTCGCGAACACCAGCGAAGACAGGCGGTGCGAGGAGGGCCAAATGAGGACGGGTCAACTCTGGGTGCAGGCGGCTGACGGTGCGAATGACGACAAGAGCCAGTCGACGGGTGTCGACGGGACCTCCGGGCTGGATAGCAGCCGTCAGGGCCTCGAAAATGGTCTTGTGAGTCTCGAAGCTGTGGTCACCATCTTCGGATAACAGGTACTTGCCAGCAGCGAGTACACTGTTGTCGGAAATGAAGGGGTCCTTGTGGGTGATGCCCTGGCAAATAGCGGCCGAGGTCTCGGTAACAAAGTTCTCCATCAGAGTGGCAGGAGCTTCGGCAAGGAGAGCGTTGAGACCAAGAATAGATGCGTGCGAGAAGTGCCCCGTAAGAACGCGGTGCCTAATCAGAGGGACCGCAGATGCGGCCGGAATCACCTTCACGAGGACACCAAGTAGGCGAGCATTGGTAATAGCGACGGAGTCCGTCTCATCGCTGGCATCATCGTCGATCAGGGCAAGGATGGCAGTGCGCGATGCCTCGCTCATGTTGGCACCAGCCTTACCAACCACCTCCTGGAGGGCCTTCATCATGGCATTCTTGACACCCATATCAGTAGTCTTTGATCCAGTAATGAGCTCAGCGATAAGCGGATCCACTCTGGGGGTCAGAGTGATTAGTATACCAAGACCCTTGGCAGCACGGTTACGCAAGGTCTCGCTAGAGGAATCGGCAAGACCACGGGCAAAAGTACGCTGAAGCTGAGGCAAGAAGGGCTTGACAGCCAGAGGGATCTTCTCCAGCAGCTTGTTGAGGGTGAAGAAAATGGCACCTAAATGTATTGTATTAGTACCATTGTCCAGTTGACAGAGAAAGATAAAACGCAATTGTCAAGAGACTTACACTTGATATCAACCGAACGCTCTGACACCACACGAATCAGAGGACCAGTGATCTGAGTGACGAATGGCTTGAGCGAATTAGATCCGGTTCGGTCGATAACATCCGCAATAGCGAGAGCCGACTGAGTGCGCTGCTCGGGGGTTCCGTTGAGAAGGCCTTGCAAGAAGATCGGCAAAATAGCCATGATACCCTTGGGAAGACTGAAGCCAGGTAGATCCGCGCCAGTAACACCAACTTGACGCAGGATCTGGCGAGTAGGGACCGCCAGAACCTCCATCTCCTCCTTGCGCAGGTGAGATGTGAGACCACTGAGAGCAGCCCAGGCAGCCTTGACAACGTCCTTGTCTGAGTCGTCGAAAGAAATCAGCAAGACGCGAATAAGGTCTTGATGATAACGCGAGTAGTCCAGTTCGGCATCGGAGAAGAACTTGTTGAGGTGGAGAGCAGCCTTGGCCCGACGGCGGTGGTCGTCGTGCTTGACAAGGGTCATCATCACGTTCATGGCAGTGTTCAGGCCATCGTATTCATCCACAGACACCAGCACGGTATCCAAGGCAGATTCGAGTTCGGACTGGAGCTCCTCGTCGTCGGTCTGGATGATACCGTCCATGAGAGCGTTGATAATGTTGGGCAGTCTTCTCGTCATGGCACCACCAGCAACCTCGGCCAGGGAAGCCAGGGCCCTGGCATTGAAAGCAGAGATTGGAGGCGTGAGAAGCGTAGGGATGAGGTTGGGAAGGATAATGTTGGCTCGGGTCTGCTCGGTGAGCAGAGTCAACAGGGCAGACAAGGCTTGTTCGGCCTCCTCGTCGTTCCTCAGTAGGTGAAGCAGGTAAGGCAGGACCTGGTCAACGGTCTTCTTGCCCAGGATCTGCTGCAGAGCATCGAAGGCTTCGGCGGCAGCCTCACGCACATCCTCATCACTATCAACCAGAGCCACACGGACAGTGGAGATGAGAATCTTCTCATAATCCTCGAGAGCCTCAGGAGTAGCAGCAGTAATAAGCTCGCGAAGAGCAATACAGATACCCTGCTTAACGTCGACATCAGGCGAGGTCTGAAGACCATCCTCAAGCAATGGCAACAAGGTGGACAGCACCGATTCTCCAGCCTTCTTGATAAGATCGCCAAGGGCGTTGGAAGCAATGACCTTCTGCTCCATGTTGGACGAGCCGAGGCGGCGAATGATGAGCTGGGATAGAGTGGGCACCATCTCCTTGAGAGTTTTCGGAGAGGCAACAAGGGCCTTCCAGACGCCCATGGCGGCACTCTTGACCATACCGGAGGTATCGCAGCGACAGATAAACAGAGCAGAAAGGACCTTATCCCTGCGCTCTTCTCCAAGAACTTCGAGCAAGGACTGGCCAGCCTGGGTAGCTTCTTCCTCCTCTTCCTCGGCTTCCGACTTGCCGCTGATACCGGTAAGACTGAACAGCAGGTCTCCAACCAGCTCGACGGAGCTGAGACGAATGCGATAGCTGTCGTCGGCCAAGCCGCGCTCCAGCTCGGGAAGCAGCAGATCGATGGCCTTGGTTGCGAAATTCTTGACAAGCAGGCGACCAGCGCGGAGGGAAGTCTCACGGATCGACTCGATATCATCAGCAAGACCAGCAAGGATGGGCGGAATGATCTTGCTGAGGTAGTTGGCGAAGCTGTTACCGAAGCAGGCAGGCAAGAAGATGAACAAAGTCATGAAGCCTTCACGAACAGCAGCCTTGGAGCTGGACACATTCTGGAGAATTGTTGGCAAAGTCTCCTCGAGCCTGGTAGTACCCAGACCCGCAAGCACCTCTGAAAGTGCCTGTGCGGATCCCAGTCGGTCGCCAGCGCCGGTGTCCGACTTGAGAGTGTTCATCAGGTTGGGGATCAAATCTGGCAGAGCATCCTCTCCAAGCTTCTCGATAAGCGAACCCAAAGCCTTGGAAGCGGTGGCTCGGGTAGTCGGGACAGGATCGACGATGGCCAGGTTGAGACCAGCAACGATGATCGGCAGGTGTGCAATAAGATCTTTACGCTCAGTAAGATGAGCCAAGCTGCCGATGATTTGGGCAGATTTGCGCTTGGTGGCGGAGCGGTCAGCAAGACCACGCTCAAGAATGCGAACAACCAGAGCCAGCGAGGGAGCATCCAAATAGTGCACGAACGACACCTTGATGAGCGAATCGAGAGCCTCATCAGTGTATTTGGTGGGATCGCTAAGAGCCTTGAGGAGGACGTTGACCAGGCTCTTGACTTCAGGATTGCTAATGACCTCTCCGAACCGCTGGAGACTGCGGTTGGCAGCATTGCGGACCTCCTTGTGAGTGTCATTGAGGACAATGGTAAGAGGAGGAATGATATCGGGCAAGCTGGCGGCAAGCTGTTGCGGGTCAAGGTAAGCCATGGCACCCAAGAGATTGCAAGCGCCCTTCTGACTACGCCATTGAGTGTCGTCCAAGCCGTCGAGAAGGGTGGGAAGAATCTTCTTAACACCATAGGAGCTGAGGTTTTGGAAGCAGGCCTTGGATGCATCAAGACAGGCATCACGAACATCAATGCTGGGATCGCCGAAGCCAGCGAGTAGCTGAGGGACAAGCTGAATGACATAGGGCTCAAAGGTCCGTCCGAGGATAGAGGCAAACAGCTCATACGCTAATAACGCGCCCTGGCGCTGATGTGGCTCCTTCTTGTTTTCGGTGGCCTCCTTCAGCAAGCTCATGATGCGGAATTCGCGCAGAGTCGAGATACCCCTACCGCTGACAATACCAGCCAGACCATAGGCCGCACCGCGCTGAGTAGCGTAGTCCTTGACATTCAGCAGCGAGTCGAGCATCTCCTGGACGTAATCGGCAGTCTTAGGGCCAGACAGCCTGATCAAGGGAGGTAAGCACTCGGAAACAGCAGATTGCACGGTCTCAGAGGGGGTAGGCAGGGTCGCGAGAAGTTTCTTGACCACTGTCTGTAGACGACGGTCCTCTGCCTTCAAGTGTCGGGCCAAAGCTCCGTAAAGCACAACAACCGCCTCGTTCAGCAGATCAGAACTCTGAGTGGCCTTGTCCGAGGTCTCCAGAACTGTTTCGAGTAGCTTCATAAGTTCCTCGACCTTCTGCTGGCCTCGCTCGGCAATGACGGACTTGCCACTCTCTGCCATTTGGATACGCACGGAAGAATTCTTGTCGACGAGGGGACCGCGCTCAATCAAGAATTGCAAGAAGTTAATGATCTGATCGCCTTCAAAGAGGTTTGTCATGGCGTTGAAAGCCAGAGCGATACCACTGCGGCTCACCCAGTTGTCTGTGTTTTCCATCTTCTTCGGCATGCCATAGGCATCCTTTTCAGGGGCCTTGGGCTTGACCTCCTCCGAGTATTTGGCCTCAAGCTCGGACAGAATACCGGCAAACTTGCTCTTGTCAAATTCTATAGCGTGGGCCAATGCACGAGCAGCAGCTCCACGGAGCTGGCTGTCCTCAGAGTCCAAGTATTTCATGATCTTGGAGAAGGAAGTGTCGTCCACTTCCAAGGCATTCTCGTCCCAGATGCCTTCAGCAAGCTCGACATTCTCCTCAACCTGGTCGTGGCAGCCGAGCCAAATGTGTTCCGAGAAATCAAGATCCGTCAGATCGATCTCAGCATCAATGACCTGGAGTACAGAAGTCCGCACGGAGGAGTCGGGAACGATCGTGCCTTGTAAGAGGGTTTGGAGCTCCTCACTAGTGATAGTGGGAGCAATGCAGCGGCAGAAATCGAACAGGGTATCCTTGATCAGCTTATAATGTTGAGTGTATCTCTGAATGCCGGAAAGAAGCTGCTGAAGCACTTCAACGCGAGGAAGACGAACGTCGGTGAAGGAGCTGGTGTGGAATGACAAAAATTCGATCGCAAGCAGCACCTGCTCACCTTCCTGATCTCCTTTTACCTCTTCAATTCCGTTCTGGCTCAAGATCAGGAAAATCAATGGCAGGATGTAAGCGAGAGAGGGGGTATCAAGGGGACGCTGCTCGGAAGCAAATCGCAGGCGGTACAGGATTCTTGTCACGAGTTGACCAAGGTGCTCCGATTCCATCTCTGCCGGTAGATTAGTTCTACCAATAGCACGCAAGGTTGCAATGCCCACGAAAGGCCGGGTATTGCCCAAGCGCGAAGACAACTCGTTGGAGCAAGTGATGTAAGCTTGAGAAACCACATCACCGACGAAGAGTCCAGCGCCAGCCCGAGCAAGAGAAAGCAGACGGCTAACAGCCTCGTTGATCCATCCTTCAGCGTCGTTGGCAGGACCAGTTGCCAGACCCCGAACAAGGCCGGCTCCCCGTTCAATGCGCTTGACTTCCTGGAGAACCTCTTCACGAATATTAGCCTCCTTGGCAAGTTGGGCATTCACCTTTGATTGCTCCTCAGCCGAGAGCTTCTTTTGCTTCAGGCCCTTCTTCTCGGCCAGCTGGGCTCGCAGTTCCTCTTCCCACTTCAGTGTATCGTAGTCCTTGGTATTCTTATCAAAGGCTGGCTGCTTCGACTTGCTACTCAACACATCAATGAACGCGGTTCCCTCAGGGGTGCGAGCAATGGCAGCATCAGTAGCTGTGAACTTGGATAGACGGGCACCATCCAGGTCCTCTGTGATCTGAGCAACGATGCGCGGGACCATGACGTCGGGTGCAACGAAGGCCAGGTCACCTGCTGCGGCCCACACCGCAGCATTCACATTGGGAACAATAGATTGCACTGGATCTGCATTGACACGGACCAATTGCTCTATACATTCGGCTGGGTGAGCACGAACCAGATTTCCTGGGTCGAAGCCAGACCTCAGGCATAGGTCAATCCATGAACAGTTCGGGATCATCTCTGGCCGACCGAGAACAAGAATATTGATCAGTTGGTTTTCGATGTCTGAAGCTGCAATCCCAGATTCTTCTCTGGCCTTGGCCGAGGGGCACAAAGCTTTCAAGACCAGGTGAAGCAGACGTTCGCTACCAGGCCCGGCAGAGACAGCGGCTGACTCCTTCTCCGCTGTTCGGAATGAATGAATCCAAGACCAGAGAGCGTTGATAATAACATGGCCGATGGAAACCACATCTTTCACATAAACTGTGGATAGAGTTTCCACGGCACTCTCTCGATAGCTTGTTGCCAAAGAGGGACCGGTTATGCTATAGATAAAAGACAACGCCCAAGCAGCCTTGGCAGTATCCTCGGCGGCAGCGAACTTGGCGCCTGATGTGATGGCAGCCAAAGCTCGGACCAGCCACTGCATCTCAAGGGAGGACGTGAGTTTCGAGTACGCCTTGGGGTTAAGGAGGAAAGAGGGTTTCGTGCCCATGGTCATAGCCTGAGTGACCTTCTCATTCCATGTAGCCTTTTCTGATCCATGAATATCCGAGACACGCTGGAATAGCGCAAGGAAAATATATGCAGAAGACAAAGCACCGCTTTGTGCCGAAGGGAGCGGGTTCGAGGCGACCTCTCCGAACATGTCCTTCATCTTAGCTAGGAACTTGGTAACCAACGGCTCGATCTCAGCAGTCTTCAGAGACGCAACATCGGATTTCCAGAGCACCTCTCCCACACTAAGTTGCCAAATCTTTCGGAATGGCACTCGTTTATCGGAGATGCCCTTAACAACAGCATTAACAACGTCGTCACCGACCTTGACGGACGACTGGATAAGGAAAGCAAGGTGCTTGCCGAAAGACTTCAGCTCCTCTTCCAGAGCAGCTTCATTGGCCTCCCTCGTGAAGACGGGGCCGAATCCCTGGACAATCTCTTTAGAGACATCCGCAGACGACGGAATAGCGGCGATAGCTTGAGCGTAGGCGACACGGTGTTCTGGGGCAGTGATCTTTTGTGTCTTTAGGGGGCTGACAATTTCGCTGGTGATCTTCAGGACCAAGGTATCTGTTTTACATCGTGTAACTAATGAACTGAATGAATCAGCAGCCCCTTGCCGAATGTTCGCATTGTTGGACTTCATGCTAGAGAGGAGGTGCTTCGACAGGCGAGAGAGGACGACCTCCGAGAGGTCGATGTCCTCTGGCAGCGACGCACAAAGTGGTGGGATCACACCATTCATGATCACCTCCGGCGCCCTCAGCATAGATTTCTCAATTGGGGGCACCAACTCGGTAGTCACATCCTCTGCAGTGACAAATGAACTGAAAAAATCCGACAGGCCGTCCGCCACGTGAGCAGGCACGACCGACTTAGAGCTCACGATCTCCTTGACATAATAGTCCAAGATTGCCTTCTTGGATTGCTCAAGGATCGGCTTGCGGGCAGGCAGTCGAGCACACACTCCAGAGATGACTCCAAGCAGTAGTGCATTCTTATTGCCAGCTGCCGCATCCGTGGTCAATTGGCTAATCGATTGGCGCACAGCTTCCTCGCCCCATGTCTGGCAGGAGAAAGTCGTACGGAGAGCCCGCCTAGTAACCCGGAGAGCTGACTGCCTGACTGGGATCTTGGGGGTATGGGCAAAGCAGTTCTCCAAAGCCTTGGCGTCCACCGCAATCAAATCCAGCACGATTGCCAAGGGCGCGGCCGAATCCTCGCTGACCTGCTGCAACAGAATGCAGCACCACTCCAGCAGGACAAAACCCGCCGTTGAAGCCAGACCTGGCTTGACCGCCTCTGCCTTGAGTTTCTCGGTCAGATATTTGAGGTGATCGGCGGCGTTCGGCGTTCGGAGGAGGGAGCGGAGACATTGTTGGACGGCCTGTCGCGATGGTCGGTCGACGTAGAGAGGATAGGTCAGAAACAGAAGCGCTAGGATGTCATGCTGGGATTCCGGAGGTAGTTCGGACCCTGTGAGTGACCAATATCAGTGTCTGTCAATCTGCAGCAGGATCGAGGGTCAAGTTTTACCGCTCCTATCGCGAAGTTCTTGCAGGGCCCGGAGCCTGCGCGAGGTCGAACTCGAGAAGAGTGCGACCCGCAGGGCATCCAGATCCCCAGCCTTGACCTGGTCCCATGGAATTGGATCCATGATCAGAGGTCAATACAGGGGAAAGGAGGAAAGAGGGTGGGTGGAGGGAGAGAAGGAGTGAATTAGGTGAAGGTGGGCTAGGACGACCGAATGCTGTCATAAGAGTTTTGTGTGGGGGGCAGTTGCATTCTCCGCCGCTCAACCAGCCATGTCCGCTTCTTGTTTCTCCAACTTCCTCGCCAACTCCTGTAAGTCTGACCGGACCTAATTGTTTTTGGGTTTCGTTTGAAAATTGACTAATCTTGTGGTGTTGTTTGCTTTTACAGAACCTCTCTTCCACCATGCCACCGAACAATAAGAAAAAGAAGAAGCCCGCGTCTAACCCAGCTCGAGGCTTCGCAACAGTCTCCGTGCCCTCGAAACCCAAACCCGAAAGCACAGCAGAGACCCCACCAACAACCGCAGTCGATTCCAAAGCCACACCTCAAAACGAACCACAAGTCCCGCGTGCTGAAGATTGCCCCGCGGGTGAAACAAGCACGGGCACGGGCGCGCGTAGGGCCGGTCCCTCATTACAGAACTATTCCCCGGAGGAACTCGAGAGGCATTTGGAGGAGGCAGAACTGCAGATTCTGGTTGATAAATATGCGGCAAAGTGCAAGAGTGATGCGGTACGCCAGGCGACCAAATTAGAGACTGAAAGACGGGTCCTTCGCCAGCAATCGGTGTCATTGAGTCTCCTCGAATGGCTTCCGACCGAGATTCAAGATCGAATTCTTGAATTGGCTGGTACTGAAGAGCATGACTATCTGATATCGAATGCGCGAGGTACTGGTGCGAAGCAGATAGGCTCTGAAGAGGAGCTATATGGGAAGCTCTGGACCTTGAAAGAGACCCTGCTCAAGCTCGGATTCTCGGCAGAGCGTACAGAAGAGGCACTGAAACATGTTCTTCTCTACTTCGCTGGCAATTCTACCAGCACCAGCCGTGAGGTAGCATGGAACCTAGACGAGGCACTGGAATGGCTGGCAATGCACAGTGATAAGAAGGACCTCCCACCATATACACACACAACGGCCCGTCCCCAAAAAGATGCGGATAGTGTCACTTCGTGGATGATCGGTAAGCCCATGACATTGATAGACTTTCCCTGAATGACAAGCGCTGACTCTGAACAGACTCGGAGCCATCAAGATCATCCACCCCCAAATCCCAGATTGAGAGCAAACAGGGGAAACCCAAGGCAGACTGGAAGGCTGCGAAAGTCGTTACCCCCGTGTCATATGACTCGGATAGCTCTATCGATCCAGACACTATGGTTCCCGAGTGGTTGGAGCTACAAACCAAGCTGTACAGCCTTCAGCCGGACTTGTTTGATCGCCCGGCAAAGGGAAAGAAGGGCCGTGGAGCTGCGGTTGGGCAATCAGACGACCCGGAAATAGCAAAGCTGCAGCGAAAAATTGCAAAGATCGAACGAGATGTGCTATTTGAGGCCCAAGAGGCGGAATTCATCTGGGGGGGGAGGCTTGACGAGCTCAGGAAGGACGCAGTATTCATGCGTCGCCCTGTAGATCGAAAAAAGCAGCCTCAGACTGCAGAAGAATCAGCAAAGGGTGCAATCAATGGGGGCTCTGATGTTGATAGTCTGCCAATGGACGAAATGGACGATGATGCTGCGGGCCTTCTTGGTGACATGTTTCAGGCTGAACCCGATGATGGGTCCATCTTGGGTCTGCCTCCTCCAGTGATCGAAGCTAAATTCACTATTCGGGACTTTGGGAAATCTACTGGGTTAAGCCCACGTAGAGTTTTGGAAGAGACATGCAAAGCAAGAGACTCATCATGCAAGGTTGTGTACCAAGATATCTCGTCTTCAAGCCACCAATGTCGAAAGGCAATTGAAGTGCGATGGTCTAAACCGCAAGACCCCCATTCCCACTGGCGGTCGATTCGGTCACGCATAAGTCAAACGCCGTCACGACCTTCCTCTCAATGGATACTCTTGTGACACCGACCCCACAGCAGGCTGAGGGATACATGTCGACACTCGCGCTCTTTATCTTGTTCCCTCAAAACTCCAAGGAAGGCAAAGCCTATCTGAGAATTCCTGCAGTCTGGCGAGATCTTTGGACTGAGTTCTCCAACCTGAAAAAGACCCAGGAAGATGAAATTGACAAAGCCACAGTCAAAGATCTCAAGCGCATGGTCGAAGAGAACCAGGGCACCTTCGAAGACGACGTCGTGTTGCTGGACAACTTCCGCAAGAGAAATGGCAATGCAAGCAAGCCGGGCAGTCCTTTGAGAGGACCTGCTCGAGGCGATTACTTTGGCCAGGTTGAGCAGCTGCGCGAAATTTGGGAGGCCAAAGCATCCACTCCAGCTTTCCATCGCATGATGCAAGGTCGGATGAACCTCCCAATCTGGAACTTCAAGGATGAAATCTTGAGTACTTTGGACACCCACCAGGCCATTATTATTTGCAGTGAGACTGGTAGTGGAAAGAGTACGCAGATTCCGTCTTACATCTTAGAACACGAGATGCTTCAGGACCGGCCTTGCAAGGTCTATGTGACAGAGCCTCGGCGAATTTCTGCAATTTCCCTGGCTCGGCGTGTTAGCGAGGAACTTGGAGAAAGCAAGAATGACGTGGGAAGTAACCGGTCTCTCATCGGTTTTGCTGTGAGATTGGAGAGTAAAATCAGCTCAGCTACTCGCCTAGTATATGCGTATGTGTCCACTACAATCCTTCGTTACGTATCATCCGTATCAAGAAACCGTACTGACACGACATAGGACCACTGGTGTGGTTGTCCGAATGCTCGAACGACCCGACGACTTCCAAGATATCACGCACGTCGTTTTGGATGAGGTCCATGAGAGAACAATTGACAGCGACTTCCTTTTGGTTGTCCTCCGAAGACTCATGCAGAAGCGTACAGATCTCAAGCTCATTCTTATGTCTGCAACTGTCGATGCTCAACGATTCTCTAATTATCTCGGTGGCGTCCCCGTGCTGAATATTCCTGGACGAACCTTCCCAGTGGAAATGAAGTACTTGGAAGACGCGGTGGAGATGACAAATTACCGTTTATCGGAGGATGATTCGAACATCTTGATCGATGATGACATGGATGAGATCTCCGACACCACTGGTGACAATACCGGCGGCTTGCCAGCTAGTCTTGAGGCTTACTCGAAGCAGACTAGGGAAACTGTTCTCAAATTTGACGAGTACCGCATGGACTACCAGCTGATCAAGAAACTGTTGTTGAATATTGCCACTGCTCCTGAGATGGAGCATTACAGCAAGGCAATTCTCGTCTTCATGCCCGGTTTGGCCGAGATTCGTCGTTTGAACGACGAAATCCTCTCCGAGCCGACTTTCCAGAGAGGCTGGATCGTGCATGCCCTACACTCTTCCATTTCCAGCGAGGACCAAGAGAAGGCCTTTGTCGTGCCCCCGGAAGGTTTCAGAAAGATTGTCATTGCCACAAACATTGCGGAAACTGGTATCACGATTCCTGATATTACAGCAGTCGTTGACACAGGGAAAGAGAAGATGATGCGCTTCGATGAAAGGCGACAGCTCTCACGCCTCGTCGAGTCGTTCATTTCTCGCGCCAACGCCAAGCAACGTCGTGGTCGAGCTGGACGTGTCCGGAACGGTATCTGCTTTCACTTGTTTACAAAGTACCGCCACGACAAATTGCTGGCTGAACAGCAGACGCCAGAAATGCTCCGCTTGTCTCTGCAAGATCTCGTGTTGCGCGTTAAGATCTGCAAGTTGGGAGAGGTGGAGCAGACGCTTAACGAGGCATTGGATGCGCCGTCTTCCAAGAACATTCGTCGTGCCATTGATTCTCTCAAGGAAGTCAAGGCACTCACAAGCAACGAGAGTTTGACACCATTGGGATCGCAACTTGCCAAACTTCCACTAGACGTCTTCCTAGGCAAGTTGATCATCCACGGTGCATTCTTCAAATGTCTGGACGCAGCCGTCAGCATCGCTGCCATCCTGTCCTCAAAGTCGCCCTTTGTCAACACTATGGGCTCCAACTCGCAGCGTGATGCTGCCCGAAACTCGTTCCAGAGAGGTAAGTACTGACTATTTATTCTGTCTTTTGTTTGATGACACTAACCCATTCCAGGGAACTCGGACCTATTGACTGTCTACAACGCTTATTGCTGCTGGAAGCGCGCCAGGAGCACGCCCGGCATGAGCGAGTTCTCTTTCTGCCGGAAGAACTTCCTCAGCCCGCAGACGCTTCTCAGTATCGAAGATATTAAGATGCAACTGGTAGTCTCAGTCGCAGATGCAGGCCTCATCACTCTCGATGGTGTCCAGAAAACCGCTCTGAACAGGTAAACTTGTTGGCCCCTATCCCGTTATCTTTGAAGCATACTCATCGACTACAGGGCGCGGTCTACGAATCGAAATCGCCAATTTTTCACTATTCCCGAGCAACACGACCTCAACAGCGCCAATGACACGGCGATCAACTCCGTTGTTGCCTGGAGTTTCTATCCGAAGCTCCTCAGCCGCGAGGGTAAGGGCTGGCGCAGTGTCGCAAACAATCAGGCCGTCAGTTTGCATCCGACCTCCATCAATAAGCACGCCGATCCGGCGATCAAGTGGCTCTCATACTACCACATCATGCAAGCACGGAACCGGAATCTAAACGCGCACGAGACGAGTGCAGTAGACGATTTTGCGATCGCTTTGCTGTGTGGAGAGGCCGAGTTCAAGGTAAGAGATCTCGCTGTCACCATAGTAATTGACCTTACTTCTATTCTCTTTCACCTTCTGTTCACTTTTCCTTCGTCAAATCTATAAGGTTATCGTCCTAACTCTTATTGTGTTTCTAGTTGTACTCTGGTGTGATCTCCATTGACTCTAACCGCGTCCGCTTTGCAACACATACTTGGAAGTCCATGCTGGCCCTGAAGATCCTAAATTCCCGTCTACGCGACCTCCTCGCGTCTACCTTCCGCAACCCACATAAGCCGCTGTCTTATAAGCAACAGCAGTGGCTAGATATCTGGCAGCAAATCTTTACGCTTGCAGGCAAGAAGTAGAGCCCAAGGGAATCAAACAGCGTGTACAACCTCATCTGTGTTTCTTTGCTTCTGCTAGGCTTGTTTCTGCCTTATATATTGATTCTTGCATTTTTTTTCCCGTATATTTGGAACGGACATGGGAGGAACATAGCAAGGCTGGCGGTGGTCAAGCCAGCTTCAAGACCCTGAGGATTTGGAATCAGAAAGGGCAATGATAGATGTGACATGATTTAAGTGCTTATAGATGGACATAGACGGGTGGCTTGGAATGGGTATACCCTGGACAGAAATGGATGGGATCTGGGTATAGTGAGATTGGCTTAGGTAGTACAGTGATTCAGACATAGAAAAAGTGCATTCTGATAGACTCCCCTTACTCGGCTTAAGACTTAAGGTGTCTCCTGAGCGTACCTTCTTCGATTCATTACGACTATAGTGAATCTGTGTCTCAATATTTACTTTCTCAATGACTGGGGGTTCTATTTTTCGGTTCTCTGGTTGTATCCACAGGAGGGCACAACACAAATATAGGTATAATCAAGGAAGTCGAATGACTTGTAGCGTAGAACAGGTCCAGCACAACCTTACTTTTCCATCTGACAGAAGCTCCTGACCTTCCTACGATACCCAACTAGTCATCAACTGATGAAGCGTCAATATAACCTTCAGTTTGGCTCGGCATCACAGCATTATATCCCGTCTGACAACGTGCATGCTTCCAACTGCTGAGCGAGGTTGACGAAACAGGCTCTACCCTGATCTGTCTCTGCAAAGACCAGCCCAAGCATGATGATTCTTGTCTGTCACAGCAGGGTCAGGCCACTCGGTGCATAATGTCGGCGGGTTACTGTACAATCTATCCAGGTACATGTTTTATCTGATCTATTTCCGGTCTGCGATTCGACGTCGCGGCAACTTGGCAGGCAACCGCCTCGCACGAGGTTGTATCTGCCAGGCACAGCCGAAAGGTCAGCACCACGACGCAGCCTTCTAGAAAGCTGCTGCAAACCGCATCTTTCTGCACAGCTCTGTACGGTGCTCTGTGCTTCGTTCCTGGCGCCGAATGGTGCTGGCACGTACCCGCTGCGAGTTGGCCAGTGCATTATCTCCGGTCAAGAATGGGAGAAACAAAACATCAACCAGGACAATATTCTAGCTGGAATAAACAGAGAATCAGAGTTGGAAAATCCATTCGATTAGCGACATTTGATACTAGCTGTTCTACCCCTACCTCCCAATTCTCTCCCCGCCCCGTCTTCTATTTCCCTCGGGGAACTTCGCAACTTCAACATTACTCGCAATGCACAATGAAACTCAATGCAGGCGGGCTTGGAACTCCCAACAGCACCCGGATGCGTATCAAGGGGGACGCAGGGTGTAGACATGGTCAGATCACCTTGGGGAGGCTGGGAGAACCCTGCACCTCTAAACCATCGCAACCTTCTACGAACCAACTTTCTGGAGACTGGAAACCAAAAGCCGAGAACCCTCCGATCCAACAACGGTACCCCACACCATCCCTAGCTACAGATTCAGATTCAGATACAAACACAAAATGTCCTTCTTGAGACATTCCCCGAAGACAACAAAATCTGAAACCAGCGGTGAGTCCACCGCTCAAGCATCCATTCCCAGGACCTAACCTAACATCCCCAACGCACGCGCGACACGTCGTAGTCCTGACGCTCTGGGCCCCCGCCAAAACAACCCCATGCATATGGAAAGCGCCAAAAACCACTTTTCTAAGAAGGAGCACCACCGAACCAGGAGTGCCTAGGTAAGCTTCGAGAATGTGGCGAGGCGAGGCCCACGCGGGCAGAGGATGATGGGCGTGCCCGTGCATGATCCTGTCTACTGTACTCTATGCACTCCATACATGGTGCAGAACACACAGCGTAGCATACTGTTACTACTAATGCTATACCTTGTACCTTGTACCATGCGCCCTGCTTGTTGGCTGCAGGATAGAGTCTGCACATTCTTCGATCGGCCGGGGAAGAAAAGCAAAAGCGAGAAAGAGAGGGAAAAGGAAAAGTGGACGGTTCCAATGGGTGATTGTGGATGAGTTAACAAGAGACGGTGAAGCAGGATCGTGCGTTGGATGTGAAGAAGAAGCTCGTTGGGATGTCCGAGATTCTGCACGAGGATGGAGAGATGGTGCTAGAGCTAGGTACAGATACCTTTGGATATGGGGTACTTGCCAGATGAAACCGTATATCTTTCATGTAGTTCTTTGATCTATTGTATGTCCTCATATCAGGAATCAGGCTCCAGGGATTGGCCTGGGGCTTCGAGTAGATACAACTATCCACCAACTCGTGGAACCTCCATGGCCGTGGCAATTATATGGCAATTATATTAATTTCTTTTTCTACCTGAAGTTAACAATATTTCAGTACCAGAATGATCAAAGTCACCATCAGACTGATAACCACAATCATAGTTTACCCGGTCATACAATATAAATCTAAATTTAATAGCAAATCTAGGAATGGTCATAGTTACTCCGCCCGGAGTAGTAGTTTCGGGTCGGGGCACAGGGCAAAAATGTCGTACATCTAGCTGTTCGCCTGGGTCTTATCGTCGTGGCTCCGCTGACGTCGCTGATCGCCTGTGGTTTCAGCTGGTTACAGCGCTAACAGAGTAAAGTTAGCACTAAACGGGAGGACTGAGTACTCTAAGGTTATCGTGGCCGAACCGACCACGGCTCGCCAGAAGAGGTGAATGGCTGATTTCAATCTCGTCTAGGATGATGCTGGTATGTGATTCACGAATACGGATGAGGAGTGACATGTTACGTGACTCCTAGAGTTGGTTTTGCGCCGCAATGTACATAGAACCGTTTTAGGTGGTTCTCTCCAGAACCAGTAGATGGAGAACAACGTGCAACGATCTATCCGAATCCCATCCTTCCACGTAAATTTGGCTTTCAACGGTCATTCTCGAGGAAATGAAAAATAGCCATCTCAACGACGGCCGAATCGAGTCCAGCCTCGAAACTAGGAGATAAGAGCCATGATTGACTGGGTATTTCCACTGTTCTTAAATCCGAATCTGATGCTCTTTATGGACCAGGAACGAAAATGAGCCTGGCAAGACGAGTCAGACAAATCAGTGCCCAGCATTCCGTCATGAATAATTGCAAGTGATCGCACACTAAATTCGTTCCTTCCCCACTCAGTTAGCTCCCTGGCTATCTACGACTCTCCACGTCTCGAATGAAGGGTGGTTATTCTGGAAATCACAGACGAGCCTGAACAATTTCCCCGTTTAGGGCACGAGATCAGCCAGATCAGACCCAGACCCAGACATCCCCGATCATCAACCGTTGTCAGCTCCACACTCAGAGACATCATTTGCCCTGTGCCACGTCTGCACGCAAGGGGTTAGAAGAAAAAAAGGTGGAAAGTAGGAGGATGGAGGAAGGAAGAGGGGGGGGGGGCCAACTGGCGGTGAATTCCATCACGATCTAGCCCACCAAACCGGCCAACCCACTCAACCCGCCTAATCCACTTAACGAACCTGCTCAGTTACCCTGGCTAACCCGCTAGTCGACTAGCTTGGCGGAGCGCTACGTGGTGCAGGCCACCGCCAGTCATCCTCCGGTCGGATCGTCGATCGGCGGGCGCCTACAGCAAACTGCAGCGACTCGGCCTCCGCACTGGCCATAAGTACTTAGCGTGATCACACCTTCGCCCCATCCAGACTGGAGGATATCAGACGGAAATGCCTCTTTCTTCCTCGCACAAGGGGGGATTTCCATGAGAGGAGGAGGGGAGACCTCGCTGGCCCTCTTCTTTTCACGGCGATTCGTCGGGTTGTTTTGTTCGACTTGTTCGCCTCTTTCGCCTGGAAGAACGAATGATTCAGATTAAACCTAACTTAAAGCTTATCAGACAATTTCTTTACTACTGTACGATACTACCTGTAGTAACTAATGCTACGGTACAGTATAATGTCATGGTGATCAGGGATCCGTCATCGTCTTGAGGCCGAGCCCAAGCGACGGAGATCCATCCACGGAGATCCACGGAGCCGTTCCAAGTACGGAGTACAGCAAGTAGATGTCACTTTGATTCTCCTCTGTTATTCCAGTCTCAAACTACAGTACCACTCAACGATTTACGTCTCGCACTTCCATTCCCCCTCATTCGCACCGGAGAACACTCCGTAGTGGGCATGGTCTGCGATTTTGGTGCCCGTGAGCCACGGCGCTAGAGGGTGCAAAGGCAAGATGAACGTGCAGTCGATCTTCTCACGGGACAATGCAATGCGAGGTTAAATCGGGGGTCGCACGGCCCCGGGCTCCAGCGGCTGGGCTGCTTCATCGAGCCCAGATCCTTGGCTGCGTGGTGCGTTGCCATTCGTGATGGTGTGCTGCTGTGCTGGTGTGGCGCGAATATGTTTCGTCAGTTGCCTTTTTTTAGATTCCTTTTTATTTGAGCTTTCTTGTATTTGGTTTGAGAAATATTGATATTCTTATTGGACACGTTGTGTAATGAGACGGATAAGGACCTATTGAGAGGCTGTCAGACCAGTAACGCAAATATATATATCATTATTACATAGTAATAATTGAATCAATGTTTGGAGGCTTGGCTGTCGGACGGGAGATTTCCAGGTATGTTGGGTAAAGCGTATTCGATGCTTATAGACCGAAGCAAATTAGAATGAATGGAGAAGATAGATTTATTTTGCAGTGTGTTTTGTGTATACAAAACAAGCATGGGGTCTGGCGTTGAGGTATACCGAACTGAGTTTGAGTACTTCTGTATATCCACGGGCCATCGGGGAGATATTCCGGGGTCCGACCTCTACGATTTCACGGCTCTCTTCACTATTGTAGTCAAGTAGCTAGTTCCCCCATCCGTACTACGTATACACCAGAGCAACTCCTGACCGAACCCTCGTTACGGGATAAATCTCACCTAAACCTCCACATTATGGAGTACTGCTAGCCCAAGGCTCGAGCCCTCTACGCTGGACCTCAGGCTAGCCCCCAAAGTCAAGCGCATCAT